GTAATCAAAAGGAATAGAAAAATTAAACAAGCATCGTCAACCATGCTACCATTTTCTTGATATATCTAACCAGTAACTGATAGTGATTTTGTACCCTCCAAATTTTCAATTTTAATGGTACTCTAGGCTTCGTTGTATTACTCATTACTCATTATAAGCAGTAGCTAGGAGCATTTAGTGGTAACCATATCACAGGTTAATAAAGCACAATCAAAATAGGCCCTCTCAACCCAAACCTCTACTCAACAAAATAATAACATAATAAAGTAATCGACGATACTACCAACCTTCCTCCATCTTATTATCATTCTCTACTTCCGGCTTTGCTTCGTCTGGATTAATAACCCCATTATCTTCTGCTACATTTTAACCAAATCATTGACTCAGAAATTAAAAACTTACCATAGCACAGCCATCATAATCATTTATCTTAACGAAAACAAATAATTCAAATTCCCTTTTAGATTTACCTGCCGAATCAAGCTGTAACGATCGGATTTCCTCCTCGATATCTACCATTTACAGAATTCATTATAATCAAATCTCAAAATTCAACACAACATCAAATATTAACACCCCATTTTGGTTTAGAAACAAAACAGACCAAACGTTCTCATTAATTTCGAATAATTCATCACAAATAAGAGCCATGATGGCTAAACTTTATCCTTCACTCCTTCACTCAAATTACCAGAAATAAGGAGAATCGAAACAGATAAAAAAATAATTCGCAAACTCCTGACGAACTAGAAAACAAGCAAAAAGGATTCAAATCAGAACTCATAAAATCGCCAAACAATCGCCTGGATGTACCGGAGCTTAATCGCCGAACAAAAACAATCTACAAAAATTAAAAATTAGAAAGAAAGGACACGAAAATTCGCGAAATTTTAAGAACCGAGATTTCTAAACAGATGATTAGATCAGAGGATTAGGGATTAGAGTTGCGTACCCATGGATGGCGAGACTTCTGTAGCAATCCGCTAGGGTTTTGACGAGGAGCGAGCGAGGACGGAAGGAAGTGAGTGATAAAATGTGAACACTTGTGCTGCCTACTTTCTGGAATCTACTGGTATTGATTTTTTTGGAGGGTCAATCGAATACTTTCGGCACTGTTTATTTGTTACGAAACGGATATTTTTCTTTTAAAAAGTTACTAATTACTTACATTTTTATTTTGTCATTTTTCTTTAAAACTAAAGTTTTTGATAATTTTTCGTTAGTTTTTGTTTGATTTTTTGGATTTTTTTTGGAAAGTTGATCATTTTTTTAAAAAAATAAAGAAATTAATTTAAAGAAAAGTTTGAAAAAATCTAAAGCAAACAAGAAGAGCGTTTTTTAGCTTGGTAATCAAACTTTGAAAAGTTAATTTTCTGAAAGCTATAGTGCGGAGGAGATCAAATCTCTGTACAACGAAACGAACACATTGTTACACAACATACGATTTAGCTTGAAGCTAATGATTTTGAAATAAAAATTAAATATGAGCGATAATCTAATTAACTAAACTAACTTGCATCAATTACTACGGGAAGAGGGATAATTTGTTTTCTTTCTTTGATAGCCACAGAGGTATTCGAACTTTAACGCATAAAAAACAAAATAGAATGAGAGGTTTGAAGATTTTCTATTTTTGGATTGCAAAGCCTTGGTCTGATGGCTACTTCAACAGGCCATATTTTTAAATTCCAAAGATGGGGCCCAAGCCCAAATGCAGATAGCAATTGGGTGCATGCATATAAATCTGACTCCGAGCCCAATCCGTTATTTGGATTAGACTGTGGTTTCTTCATTCCTTACTTCCAGCCTGGCTCAGTTCGTTAATATTTTAAAATTTTATTATTTTTGTTTATGAATTAAACAAAAATAAGGCTTTTTAGTTAGTATCACTCTTCATTTTTATTTTTGAAATTTGAAATCAATAGAAATAGTTCTTAAATTTGTCCATTATCAATTATTTTTTGTTATTCAATAAAAAATTCTGTTAAATATCGATCAATTGATAAAAATGTTCTTAATTTATGATACACAATAAACGAAAATGATTTGTTAAAAATTGACAAGATTTTTGTTATTTTTTACAAAATTACCAAAATTAGTGAACAAATTCAGAAAGTATTTTTGTCAATTTTAAATCTAAAAGCTTATGTCAATCAGAATCAAATAACTGTTTTAGTTAATGAGACAAAATAAAAATGAAAGAAATAAAAACTAGATGACAAATAGATAAGGTAATGATAATTAGGAAAAGGTTCCTCGTCAAATCTGAAAATTCAAAGATCTAATAATTATGTCGGTTAATTGTATATTATGATGTCAAAAATTATTTTAAATTTTAAATTAAATATAAATAATATTTAATAAAAATAAATTATACGATTTACGATAAACACATAATTACAAAATCCACTATATTATCGGAAAAAGATGAATCCTTTTCCTCATACTTCAGGACAGTGAGATCTGACCTTGGATTTTGTGGTTATACTCGTGTACATTAGCCCTCACCATAATTTGCATGGACATTGCCATCTGACGGATCACTTGTAACGAGGTGGAATCGGAATAGTAAGGAGGGCATCTTATGACAAAAATCAGATCAAAGAGGCGCACGTTAACAAGCATACACGAAGCAGGGATAACTTGCGCACAAAGCAGTTGGTCCCACCGGCCCGAGGCTGAGCTGTATTGTCACATCGACGTCGCTTTTGTCTGATCACAATTGAAATCTTAACTTAACAGCTACCACTCATTTCACCTCAGACTTTTTGTATTTTCTCGTAGCACCGCCACGTGTCGGACAACTTCTCGAACTTCTTCTTTTTAAGTTAAGGTCGACTTTCGAGTAGCCTTTCATGTGACAGATTTTGGATTCAATTGGTGTTATTTTGTAATACGGTTTAATAATTTTTGTTCTTATTTAAAAGTAAAAAAATTTTATATTTGAATTTTGTAAATGATATATTCGGTACTATATTAAGCTGCTCATGATATAATTTTATCAAACTCTGCTCTCCTTAATATATAAATACCGATATAATCAAAAAAATATTTTACTACATTGATAAATTACACGATCTTTATAAAAAAAAAAAAACTAAAATGTTTATATGAGTCAGTTTAATCTTGAATAAATAAACTACCATATAGAAGCCATCCGCTCGGTCCTTTTTTAAGACAAACAAGGTACGTGATTCGTGTTAACTATATATCTGGGAAGGATCTAATCAGAAGCCGGTTCCCGAGACCGTATCCCTCCAGTCCTCCACTATTATTTCTTCTTTTTCTGAACCTAATATAAAAGTTGCCCTCCCTCTTTTATCACGCGTCGCTTTTGTCTGTGCATTATTTGAATTTTAGAGGCTCAGTTTGAATGTTTGGTAGCCAGCCACATCTTATCAATCTTTAATCTTTACATTAATATAATACAAATACGGTTGAATATATATGGGTAGGTTTAGTTATTTAATTTTCTCTGTGTGGTTCCTTGGATCTTTGAGATAGATCCAAGTGAGTGGAAAACATCTGGGATTTTGATCGATGAAGGTTCGATGCATGGATCTAACTTCATAAGTGATATGAAGCTACATGATTTGGCTCTGATGATCTGAGAAGTACATGTTTTCGTTTAGGGTTTTGATTTCTTGCTGCTGTATATGTTTATATATATCGTTTTTGGCTTTTGGTTATCTGATCTGAATCTTCTTCCTTGGAAGTTCTTCTGAGTTTTTAGATATTACACACTGCTATCTAGGGTTTTTCAGCAGTGGTGAGTAAGGTGCTATATATAACTATATGTATGTATGTATGTATGTATGTATGTGTAGGTAGGGTTGAGGGGTGGAGCTCCTTGAAGTCCAAAAGAAGGTGATGCTGGGTGGATAGAGCTGCTGAGCTATGGATCCCACAGTACTATATATCCAATGTTAGATCGGACCGGATCGGATCGAAGGGATGACAGGCCTGTGGCTTGCATATCTCAGGAGCTGCATTACCCGTAAGCTACCTCTTTTTTTGGATTGAAGGGAGCTCTACACCTCTCTTTCTCTTGCTGTTTCACCCTGCTGATGGTCTACTGATTCTCCACATGCTATAGATTCCAAGTATTTTCTGTTTGTAGTTGCGTCATCTTTAGACATGAACTTTTACATTGTCGATAGATCTATATATTTCATGACTCTTGAGATCTATATATAAATATTCTAGTATATGATCCGACGTGTATATATATATATATATATATGACATGTACCAGATGACTCTGGAGATCTATATATAAATATTTTAGTATATGATCCGCTGTGTGTGTATATATATACATATATCTATATGTATGAAGTGTACCGGATGAATGAAGAACAGGATGTGAATTGTGAAGCCCAGTATATATATTTTGGTATATATACTGTATACACAGCCTAGAAAATCCCCGTATATATGTTCTAGCAATTATTTGTAGTGTACTTAAACATTAAAATCAATAATGTAATGAATTTAAAGTTTTTATGGATCTATTTGATATTATGATTTTATACAGGCATAATTTAGAATTTCTCAAACCGCAACGAGGAGTATATTTCTAAAACGATTCTACGGGGGAGTATTGTTCATTTATTTGATTTATTCAATTTAAAGGTAGAAAGTAAAAATGAGGAGAAAAAAGTGTGATAATCACTTGTTTTGGAAAAGCATTTGGTGAGTCGCGAGACACGCTTAAATTCATCTGCAGTGTATAAGCTTTGGTGGTTGGATTGGTCAACTTCAGAATTTATGGTTGTCGATCAATAACAACGAATTCGTGACTTACTACGTGAAATCGACTTTATAAATTATTATAGAGCACAATTGTGATTGGTTTTGCGTCAGATTTTTCGATAATTTCAAGTATTTTTTATTATACTCTTTCCAAGTAATTTCAAATATTTTTTATTATACCCTTTTCAAGCGATATTTCTATTTGAATTTGATACGTAATGTATCGAAAATTATATCTTTGCTGATTGACTCGAAAGTTGTTTATGTTTCATAATCTTACCATTGACCACACCGAGAAGGCATAGCAGATGTAGATTCGGTAATACACAAATCTCAAAACATACCACTTTATATGTTTTAAGTAAAAAATAGATGTTTGCCAACTGATGACTAGATGTTCGACCGAGAATGTCTTGTACTAATTTGGTCAGGGTTAATCACAATCCCCTGAACTGGACGGGCCTGCCCCCGGCTCCGACCCTGGCCGAAGGAGTCTCTGCGTGTTATTTCAACACTAGGAGGAACTGGGGTTTCCGGAGAGTGGCCGGAAATGCAGAGGGCGCCTGAATCATCTTGCTGCCAGAATACTTCAACCATAACACCACTTGGATGCTCTGCTGACTCGGTTCCTGGAATCCCCACAAACCTAGCTCCTACTGGTATCTGCGATTATTAGCATAAGTAACGTACCAGTCGTGTTGAATCGCGCAAAAATAAATTTATTGCAAGCATGTAATATCGAATTGCAATCTGTTTTGTGTTACCTGAACTGAGGCACCAGATGCTAAATTGAGAGTGACCAGCCTCCCCTCTGCCGTGGCAGCTTCTAGCTCCGCCTGCCCTGCGATATTCAAGAACACTTCTTCGAGAGTTGTAAGCCCAAGTTGGATGTCCGCTATACCAAATTCTCTTTCTTTGTTTTGGAGCTCCGCGAAAAAATTCTGTTAAAAGGTTATGAAAGAATTTTTAATGCTCTGCATATATACAGTTTTCATGCGACGTAGCATGAAAGAATTTTAGCCAGACGATGAAATGTTTACCATCAGAAGTCCCTCTCTATCATGAGGAATAACAAAGGTCAGAAATTCTCTGTTCTCTTCTTTTGGTTCAACACCCAAATGCTGCATAAAAGTTTTCCCAGGTTAGAAACTAATGTGTTATACGCATGAAAGAAGTTTGAATTGTTCAAAACCAACGTACGTATTTAAAGAACTCCTTCACAGCCTCATGGTGAGATGTAGCAACTGCATCCCTACTTGGAGGCCTTTGTTCATTCGTGCTTCCGCTGAAGCTCACATTGGCGATAAAACCAGTTCCAAACCTCGACTTCAGCCTGATTGAAGTTCCAATGCAACGGAGCCTACCCTTTGCCATTATTCCAATCCTGTCACCTAAAATGTCGGCTTCTTCCATCGAGTGAGTGGTTAGGACAATTGCACGGCCTCTTTTCGCCCCCTCTATGACGTCCCATACATGCCTCCTTGTTATTGGATCCATACCAGTTGTCTACATATCATAAACTAAATTAGAAAAACAGAGATAGTAGATGTACTAATGAAGGGAGAAATACAAATTTCCATACCGGTTCATCTAAGATAATCAACTTTGGATCACCAATAAGGGCTACTGCAAAACTCAGGCGACGTTTCATTCCTCCACTGTAACTCCCAGCCCTGACTTTTGCTGCCTCAGTGAGTCTCACCTCTGCCAATAACTTCTCAGCATCCTACACTCGATGAGCATTCATCTTATAAAGAACCGAAGAATCCTCATGTGAAAAACCAAATTCAAGTTAGTGCAGCACGTACTGATTTTACTGAAGCTGAGGGGAGGCCTTTAATACTAGCGAAAAGGTGGAGGTGCTCTTGCGCGGACAACGCATTCCAAAGAATATCAAACTATCAATAGAGACAATTTACATACAAAATTAACTCAAAGTTTTCGAATGAGTTGCTGCATCGCGGTAAAAACTACGTAACTAGTATGTTTTTGAAACTTTCAGGTTACAACACGCATGGTCTTCTTGAAAAAGAACAGCGAGAACCAGTTTCGCCTTTTGATTTACTGATAGTAGACCACAAAAGCTCTTGATCAACGGTGACCAAGACAACATGACCATATAAACATATGTACTTATGAGACAGACTGAGAGCGAAAGAGAGAGCACCTGCGGACAAAATCCTATGATTTTTCGAATATTTGCCATACCAACAGAGCTCCGGGCGGAATCTCCATAAATCAAAGCTGTTAACAAATCAGTTTACAATTTCAACATTTCTCTATTGGGATCATCTTTGTGAGAAATTTTTTCAATCAACGAACTCAAGAAAAATGACACTACAGTATTACCATCTCCTCCAGTAAACGGTGTGATGCCAGTTAAACAACTGATTGCAGTGGTTTTCCCAGCTCCATTCGGACCAAGTAGACAAAATAACTGATCCTTCGCAAAGTTCACCCACAATCCCTGAAAGTTATTCAAAATAAATCAGTTGCTACTATATTATTTCATTACGAAAAACCTGAAAGGCTGAAATATATATACTGCAACTGGCACAACCAGGAAAAAAAAAATTGTAAGACAACTAGGTAAAAAACAAGGGAGGATAACCAAAGGCCAGATACGACAGATTACCTTCACAGCATGGTGAGGCTTAGTCCTCCTGCACTTGCAACAGCCAATACTGAAGGTACCGGGATATGTCTTTACAAGACCTCGTATCTGAACTGCAATGTTCGGATCAACTGTGCCTTCTTTAGTTTGTTGTTTTACAAGGTTCTCCTCTTCAAGGACATCTTCATCGTCTGGAGTAAGAAGCTCCTTTGGTGGAGCTGAACCGATGCAACTACATATGCCACCCTCTACGAATAGAAAGGAAACACCACTAAGTTACCATGCAACAAGAGAAACTCAACCACAAACTTTCAGTCGTATTTACCTTTCATTTTGTTGCCACCTTTCCCTGTCCAGTATCCGGGATTTAGAAAGTAGAACACTGATTTTCTCACACCAGATACATTCGGAATGATATTATCAAAGTAGATAGCCAATATAAACCAGAGGAAGAATGTAGACACCAGCCATTTATAAATGCCATTCTGTCAAAGTTCAAATGAAAATTTTAGAACAGGAAGGTGTATGAAACATTCGAAGAACTTATAAAATATTTGGTAATTTTTTTCAATTTTAGGATCAATGAGTTTACTTACAATTGTCATAAGACAATCACTATAGTAATTTGCCGGGCATTTGGCCCTTCTACTCCAGCTAATCCCAATATCTTGTGGACTGGCTGTTGCTTGAGCAAGTAATACTATAGCTCTGGCAAGAAGGTTAGGTGGGAAAAATGACCAGAGTATTCGATATTTCATCTTGAAGTCTGTTGAATCATAGGGAAAACCAAATGCTGTAACAATCTGCAAGACAAAATGGAATATGTTATCAGTATTACGAGAAAAACCCCAACATATAAATCTTGAATCGGGGAAGTCTTGCCTGGGTTATAGAGCCGACAATAAACACTGCGAAACCAAGAGTTGTGGATGAAGATGAGTTCCTTAAGAAGGTTGACAGCAGAAAGGAAAAACTAATCTGGCAACAAATTGCAGTAAGTGGATCAGAGATTACTAGATTGGAAATATTAGAAATAAAGTAAAAGAAGTAATTGCTTGAAACATTCTTACCATATTGAGTTGGAAAAGGAAGAAGACAAGGAATACAACTGCAAAACTGTTCTTTAGGAAAAAATCAAATCGAAACAGCATTCCGAAGAGAACTGTGAAAAGTGATGACAATAGTACCATAATTCCGTCCCATGTGAGCCATGAGAACCAATATGCAGTATCGTAAAGGCCCATCATTGTCATCACCTGCAAAGTAAAAGAACAAAAACACGAATACCAACCTGATTTTGCATATACGAAATCAAAACTAGCCATACGCAAACACAATGAACTCCACAGCAGGGAAAAGAAGAAACCCAAATTACCTGCCGAAGCTTTAGTTCTTTCTCTGTGATCAAAGAGGACATTTGAAACACAAAACTGAACATGGCAGCAGCAAAAAAGAAGGGTGGTAATAGTTGAGCCAAATCAATAGAAACCTCCCGGTTAGGGTGTGCGAATTCCTTGAGCGAAACATCCCAGCTAAAATTTGGAACTGAACATATCATTATACGCATGTTAAGGTCATGATGGTAACAATGCAAGCGAAGCTTTTTTCAATGAACAGAAAAGGAATATGAGAAACAAGACATAGTACCTCCAATCAGAGACCTAGCGATTTCACGCTCAGCAGCAATCTGAAGCGGTATTTGAAACTTGAAAGTTGAATCTTCATATCGCCCCCGGGCTCTAACAGGAGTAGAATTGGTCTGTATGCCATAGCTGATCACAGTGGCGTTTCTTTCCACAAAATGCAAAGCTCCTGAGCAATGCAGAGGATTATTAAATAGCCATGTATTTACTTCCTCTTTCGTTCCAAACGATTTGACCTGTACAAGTAAAACCACCTCATTACAAACAATCTAACACTATCAATTTAGCCCACAGACTACCACATAAATCAAACTGCCTCACTACGAGTTGCCTAAAACGATGAAATCTAACTAGTCGAACTTGTCAACAACCAAATCTGAATAGTTTGAAATCTCAAATCTTTAGTTTGTGGAACAAAAGTTCCACGCATTCCTCCTGTTTTCGGAATAAATTGAACATATTTATGCAACAAAAGGTAAATTAAATGCCATCACATTGCCGGTGTGGCTTAAGACTGCTTCTGGAAGGGCTACAATCACTTTATGACGAACCAAATGTGATTGTGAAAACAAATTACATGCCTTTCGTCGTAGAAGCGCTTTCTTGAGAAGCACTTAAAGCCCCAAGTGCTTTTCCAAGAAGGTACTTGGTTTTACAATCAAAATTTCAATGAATTTCCAATTAAAAAAAATCTAACAAACTCACTTATGAGCAGAAACGTTTACTAAGAAAAGAAAGAAAGCAAACAGCATTTTCCTCAACTTTCTCGGTAACCAAACACAACGCAACAATCCGAACTCACGCATACCTTCGACAGCGTAATCGGCCGGCCCGGATTATTCGCCATAATCCCACTGACAATACTACTAATCCTCGCGCTCCCATTTCCGCTCCACACGAAATCGAAACACGGCTTTTCAACAGAGTACTTGCGCTCGCACGGCGGAATCGGCGGCGAAACCAGTGGCTTGGGGTCCCTGACGCTCCGGAAGTCGGCGGATTTCTTGTTGCGAGCCTCGAGGCCCTCCTGGATGAAGAAGATGAGGACGATGAAGAAGAAGGAGGCGAAGAGCTGGATAAAGGAGGCTCTTTTGCTCCGCCACGAGATCAGGAGGTTCTTCCTCAGCAGCGCCTTGTACTGCTGGAACAGCAGCGGAAAGCCGCTCCGCAAAGCCATCGGTTCGGGTTTTCCGGACCCGAATGTGAGTTCTCGGGTTTAGTGATGGAAGTGAGAGGCGGAGTTTCATTGTTTTATGCTCAGGTGTGACGGTTTGTATTTTCTGTTTTTGGAAAGGCGCGGTTTTGCCCGTTTGGGAAGGAGAATTGGGGTGAAATTACCAGATTAGTGCTGGATTCGGCTTGTTTTTACGGGTTTGCCACTGCCGCGTTTTAACTTTTTTCCGGCGGCAACGGGAGTTTCGCCGAGTTTTTGTGTAGAAGTGCTTTTACTCGTTTGCCAAAGTTGTTCATTTGGATGTGCTTATAAGATGGTTAAAAGTAATTTTAGAAAAAAAAAATTTGGTTTAAAAAATACTTAAAGTGTTTTATGTCAGAAACATCAATTATATGTTTCTTCTAGAAAGTACTTTAAGTATTTTTTTTTCAGAATTTACTTACATTTTATTAAAGATTGGTATCAAAAATATTTTTACCAAAAACGCTTTCATTCATTTCATTGAAAGTTATCAATGATTTCTATTTTTTTTATAACAAAATGAATCACTTCCAATGAGTAACGAATTTCGACAAAAAAAAAAATAGTAACGCCAATTTTTTTTGTTCGTATTCAATGAATAACGGCTATTATTGTTTGTCAGATAAAACACTTTCGTTTCGTTTTGAGAGCTTTTATATTTTTTGTATTCATCTGAATTACTGTAAGAAAAATTCATACTTAAGTTCAATGAATAATCGCTATTATTATTTGTCACATAAAATAAAATAAAAATAATGAAAAATATTTGAAAACTTTGAGATTTAATGAAAAAGAGAAAATAAAGGGTAAAATGAATAGTACCAAGATTGATTTTTTAGTGTAAAAATATGATTTTTCGTTAAAATAAACAGTAACGAGAGCTTTTTATTAAAGTTCTCTATAAAATACTCTCATCTAATTCAGAGTACTTTAAAAAAATTTGAATTCATCTGAATTAAGAAAAATTCAAATTTAAGTTTAAATCCAACACACTGCTCTAAGAACTGTTTATGTAGGTGTAGTTTTTTACAAAAATTCACTAAAAGTGATAAATGGTCTCTTTATTTTTCACACAACAAAACAAATCACTTCTTACGAAAAATGTAATTTTTTTTCATTTGTACTTAATGAAGAACGGCTATTATTGTTTGTTGGAGAAAAAACTTCCATCTCGTTCAAAGTGCTTTTAAATTGTTTGTATTCATTTTGAAGAAAATGTACGATATTCATTAAGCAAATCAGAATACGTACAAAATAAAAATAGTATGCATAATAGGTCTTGATAAAAACCTTGTAGGAATTTCAAACCAATCGAATTGAAAAAGAATGTCCTGTACCACAAAGGGACATATCCTCAAATGAACAATATAAGTGAAAATTACAAAGCATCATCGAACAAAATATCCCTAAGAATATCCAGAGGCTCTTCGAACCACATAAACTTTTGTTTGTATTCATTTGGATTAATATGGAAAACATTAAAAACATATGGTGGAGAAATAGAGAGGCTGAGCTGGATGCAATAGTAAAATGGTGGAAAATCATATATATCTTAATCAAGAATGACGCAGTATTACGAATTTAGAATTTGTTTCGTCCTATGTAATTTCCAGGAAAAATTCCAAAATTAATTTGCCATCTATATTTAACTACACGACGTGTTAATTAATTGGTTAATTTCCATTTGTGCCACTCTAATTCTCTAGCTAATATATTTTCTACACAAATACATCATTAACCCTTGATTAGGATAATCCTACTCTAATTAATCTTAATCTTAAATTTTCCTAATTGTCTGTATGACGTGTTCCATTTATTTTATTCCCTTCATTAATACTAGCATTTGCCTACACACTTTGTGTGTATGAATACATTTTTTTAGAAAATGAGAAGGAGAGAGGGAGAGAGAGAGAACATGGGGGAGTGAGACGTTTTTGTTTTTTTTTTTTTTTTAATAATGGAGGTAGTTTAACATTACCAGTATGTGAGGTTTCAATAAAGAACAGTAAAATTTGGACTTGTAAAATTACATTATTTCCCATCATTTTTTTTTTGTGTGATAAAAGACTAAGTTGTCTTTTACCCTCTTTTGGTTGACAAAGAGGGCTTCATTAATTATTATTTTGAAGAAAATGTACAATATTCATTAAGCAAATCAAAATACGTACAAAATAAGGATAATATGCATAATGGGTCTCGATAAAAATCTTCCTAGAATTTCAAATCGATTAAATGGAAAAAAAAAATGTCATGCATAACAAAAAGACATATTCTCAAATGATCAAAATAAGTGAAAATTACAAAGCATCATCGAATAAAATATCCTTAAAAAAATCTGGAGGCTTTTCCAACCATACAAACTCTTGTTTGTATTCATTTGGATTAATATGGAAAACATTAAAAACATTTGGTGGAGAAATCGAGAGGCTGAGCTGGATGCAATAATAAAATGGTGGAAAATCATATATATCTTAATCAAGAATGACGCAGTATTACGAATTTAGGATTTGTTTCGTCCTATGTAATTTCCAGGAAAAATCCCAAAATTAATTTGTCATCTATATTTAACTACACGACGTCTTAATTAATTGGTTAATTTCCATTTGTGCCACTCTAATTCTCTAGCTAATCTATTTTCTATACAAATACATCATTAACCCTTGATTAGGATAATCCTACTTTAATTAATATTAATCTTAATTTTTCCTAATTGTCCGTATGACGTGTTCCATTTATTTTGATTCCTTTCATTAATACTAGTATTTACCTACACATTTTATGTGTATGAACACATTTTTTTAGAAAATGAGAAGAGAGAGGAGAGAGATAACATAGAGGAGTGGGAGGTTTTTGCTTTTGTTTTTTTTTTTTTTATATTTAATATTGGAGGTAGTTTAACATCACTAGTAGGTGAGGTTTCAATAAAAAAAACAATAAAATTTGGACTTGTGAAATTACATTATTGTCTATCAGTTTTTTTGTGTGATAGAACACTAGGTTATCTTTTCACCCTCTTTTAATTGACAAAGAAGGTTTAATTAATTAGTAGAGAGTTTCAAGATTATTATTTCCATATTTATGTAATTCCCAAAATTCAATAATTCAAGAACATAACAAATAGGGAAGGGTGGCAACTGGCAACAATTTATATGCCGCGTCAAGGGTAAACTTGTTACTTCTCTTCTTTTTCTTCTTTTAAGAAGGATCAGCGGGTGGTTTTGTTATGACAATCCACTATTTTGAAGGATAAAAAGACTCATATATGCATTTTAGCCTCCTCAATCACCTATTATGTGATTAACGAGGGTCAAGAATCGAACCCAAAATATAACGTCTGTAATACGAGTATGAAATTCGTCTTCAACCAACCATCGGATCGCCTCGTGTTGGTTGGTAAACTTGCTAGTTTCTAGTTCTCCAAAATTCATTTATATTAGTGCTAATTAATTTGGATTATGTAGTGGTTCTTCGAAAATAATTTGGAACTTTGACAGGTTCTGAACTGAGCTTTTAGTCTTTGGTGGCCACAGACATGTCGAATTCGTGCTACATGAGTGTCAAGTTAGAGGATTCTCCCGGGTTTCCGCCATCAATGGCCGATCATTCACGCGGCCGCGGCCGCAGCCGTGCGAGCTTCTGGGCTCAGTCCAACGCTTTGCTCCGAAAGAACTTAACTTTTCAGGTTCACACATCTCTCACTTTTTGCCCTAGTTTTATTTTTTTTCGTTTTTCATATTTTACACGAGCGATATTCTTCTCAAAATTTTATATTTTTATACATGGATTATTTTGCAGAAACGAAATATGTGCTCGAATATATCGTTGGTGTTGATACCTGGATTGCTCTGCTTGATTTTGCTTGGCATCCAAATTGCGTTGAACAAAGTAAAAGCCAGCAGTCGCGGTGACAAGTGTGACGGCAGTCATACCGATACAGACTCGAGTGGTTTAGGCCCTTGTCCATTTCCTAACCCACCGGAATGGCCTCCGCTGTTATACATCCCCAATGCCGCTTTCCGTGCCGTGAGAAGCAACTCGATTCTTCCCTTCACAGACTTGCCTGACGCGTCATGCCGGAACAGCAAGAACAACGTCACCTGCCCTCTCACTGTGCTTGTCACTGGCAACAATCAGTCTTTCGGACAAAGTATGTACTTTTTATTTAACTTTTCGGAGAAGAACTTCTTTGCAACAGGATGTTAATGTGACGGTATTTTAAATCTATCGTTCACATTTACGTTAGAAAATTAAAACACAGTACTACAATATTAATTTGGGATTCCGCTACTGTGTCATCCTCGTCGAAAGTTTCTCTCATTTTTTTTTCCTCATCTAATCGATCAAATACTAACCTTAATCTCTGGTGAATTTGGATAGTTTTGGCTGGAAATATGTTTCCAAATGATTCTTTCCCTCTGAATTCCTCTGATGTTATGGATTATTTAGTCAACAATGTCATGGTAAGTTTTGTTTATTTCCATCTACTTGTTAACTAATTTCATGTTATGAATTAATTTGTTCTATGAACTTACGCGTATTCTAAATGTGCAGGGAACGTATGATCTGCCCAGCGCACCCAACTTTTATGATCCTGCATTCAATGATCCACTTTTTAGAGTGCAGAGGCAGTGCTCCCCAAACTCTACAATCTCTATTCCACCATACGGATCGACATCATCCGAGGCTAATCTAGGCCGTCGGGCCGTGGTTGGGCCGAGCTCCGCCTCTTCCCCAATACCACAAGGTGAATATCTCTACCCCTATGCATCCAATGCTACTATCTGTCCGTGGATCGAAATATTTTGCATATTCATCACTTCTGCATATGCACTTCAACTTTTGTTGTTTTCATGCATGCAATTGTAACTTAATTTGTCTTGAATTAATAAGCAGAGGTTAGATGCGTTGAAGCTTTGCAATTATGGCGTAAATCTTCATCTGAGATAAACAATGAGCTATACAAAGGCTACCCAAGGGGCAATCCTGAGAGGAAGGTTAATGAAATACTTGCCGCCTACGATTTCTCCAACTCCGATGACAACAAATTTGACGTAACCGTATGGTACAATTCAAGCTTAACGGATGGCTACCTGGATGACGACCAGAGCAGCACGCTGCGGGTTGGGCGCTCCCTGAATCTGGCATCCAATGCCTACCTTCAGTTTTTAGAAGGATCAAGCACCAAAATGTTGTTCGAGTTTGTCAAAGAATTTCCCAAGCCTTTATCTGCCAGGACGTCGATGCTAGATATTCCCTCTGTGATTGGTCCACTCTTCTATACTTGGATCGTTTTATTGCTTTTCCCAGTAAGTATGATTTTTCATCGATTTTAGTTACTCTGACACTCACTTCTTGAGGTTTTAAATTGTTTTCACGTCGTAAACCCTCTTGCTTAAGCTCCATCTCTTCAGACGACAAAATTTTATCTCAAAATTTTAACTACATATGATAAGATATTCAATAGGGCTACATGACTAGGGCAATTCTCACACCTGAGTGAGATCGTGTGAGGTTGGTGGGACTAAAATACTGAGTGTCCCGTACTTTTCACATAGCTCTTTTGTGTTCTTCTTCGTTTTTTTATTTTTTATTTTATCGAAATGCTTTGTGTTAATGCCATGGATGTTTGCTAATTAATTGATTTCACCAATTTTGTTGTTGATGGTGAAGGTTGTGTTGAGGTATCTGGTTTATGAGAAACAACAAAACCTGAGAATCATGATGAAAATGCATGGACTTGGTGATGCACCATATTGGATGATTTCCTATGCTTACTTTCTTACAGTTTCTTCAATCTACATGCTATTTTTTATTGCAGTTGGCTCCATCATAGGTACTTCTATCTACATATATATAACTGTCTCTTCACTACCTGGCTACCGTTTCTTCACTCTGAGTCGCTTTAACAAATCGAAGTTCGTTTACTTCTTTACAGGGTTAAAGTTCTTCACAATCAATGACTACAGCATCCAGTTTGTTTTCTACTTCATCTATCTGAACTTGCAAATTGCGGTGGCTTTTCTAGTAGCTTCGATGTTTTCCAACGTTAAGGCTTGTACAGGTTGGATGTTGTTTGTTGGTATTTATTTGCAGTTGGTTAGAGATTTTTGTTTTAATTTTTATCTTATTAGATGAGTTAACTGACATGATTTCCATGATCGATTTGATGATCGCAGTTATTAGTTACATTTTGGTCTTTGGAACTGGGCTTTTGGCAGACAATCTATTTCGAAGCATTATCGAAGATGAATCCGTATCGAGTAAGTTGAAATATTTGTGCAATGTTCAAGGACTTTGTTGTGTAGTTATGTTTTATGGTGTTCGATTTTGTCTATACTTTTCATAACCTCAACTCTTTATCAAGTTAATGTTTCGTGTTCATGTACGTAGAGCGTGTGATCATCCTTATACAGCTGTATCCTGGCTTCTCTCTGTATCGTGGACTCTACGAGTTTGCACAGTACCCCATCCAATATAAAAAAGTAGGGATGCGATGGGGCGATTTGAGTGACGGGAGTAACGGGATGAGAGAGGTCTTGATTATCATGGTTATCGAGTGGTTTGTGGTGCTTCTTGTTGCATACTGCATTGACCAACTTGTATCATCTGGAAAAAGTCCTTTTGTTTTCTTGCAAAGGTTTAGGAAGAAGAAACTTCCATCTCTTCGGAGGCCGAGTATGCAAGGGCAGGGATCTAGTTCAATTCAGATGGAGAAACCGGATGTTTGTCATGAGGTAACTTTTCTTGTCTCTCTCTCTCTCTAACTTACATGAAAACTTATGGTACCTCAATGAATTGTACACATATAAACAAATTCCGCTTCCAACTCTTCCCAATTTTTAGATCGAGATGGTTGAGAGGTTGGTAGTGGAACGGGATACAAGTCACGCAATTGTATGTGACAACCTCCAAAAGGTGTACCCAGGAAGAGATGGAAACCCCGATAAATTTGCAGTGAAAGGGTGTTCTCTTGCCTTACCTAGAGGTGAATGCTTTGGCATGCTTGGCCCTAATGGTGCAGGGAAGACCTCTTTTATTAGTATGGTGAGTGCACCCTACTTCTTTCCAGTCCTTGATTATCATTATACATTACACGAAAAATCATGTTACACATGTTTTGATTGATCATTGTGCGATTATTCCACAGATGATCGGTCTCACCAAACCAACCTCTGGCACGGGGTATGTTCATGGTATGGACATTCGGACGCAGATGAACAAAATATATAGCAGCATGGGATTTTGTCCACAGCACGAGTAAGCTAGAGCAATTCTTGCCTTATGTCTCCAGAAACTAAGAAAAAACTCTTATTTCATGGTTTTTTTTCTATTAATATTTACTTGGATGCAAATGAGTTTCTTGTTTTCGTGGATGTTGTTTAGCCTTCTATGGGAAACACTGACTGGAAGGGAGCATCTCCTATTTTATGGCAGACTTAAGAACCTAAAAGGTTCTGCCTTAATGCAAGTAAGTCAACATATCGAAAATTTGTAGTATCCAAATATGTTGATGCTTTTAGCTAGGTAGGACTCATTCCTCCATGGTTTGATTTGGTTGCTGAAGGTGGTGGAAGAATCTTTGAAGAGTGCCAATCTATTTCACGGAGGGGTTCCTGACAAACAAGCCGGGAAGTATAGTGGAGGTATGAAGCGAAAGCTTAGCGTTGCAATTTCGCTGATAGGTGACCCCAAAGTATGTCTTGGTTCTCATCGCTTTAAGCTGCTTCGATTTTTTATTTTCGATATGTTTTCCCAGGATAATGCTACTTACTGCACTCACTGTGTTTTGCAAATTCCTGTATACTTGTAGGTTGTCTACATGGATGAGCCTAGTACTGGACTTGATCCGGCTTCAAGAAACCATCTGTGGAACGTTATAAAGTCTGCGAAACAAGATCGTGCAATCATCCTAACCAGTAATCTCTCTCCCGCAATATCAACTACATGTTTAATGTACTAGTTATCGATCTATTATGTGTTTCTTTCATTTCACTTACTTGTACATTTCAGCACATTCCATGGAAGAGGCAGAGGTTCTATGTGATCGATTGGGGATTTTCGTCGATGGCAGGATGCAGTGCATAGGAAATCCAAAGGAGGTAGCGAAAAGCAAATTTGTTGTCCTAGTAATTTAAATCTCAAATTAATCGCTTTCACTCCATTTAAGTTACATGTTACATGACTAACACCTCACTTAATTCTAATGCAGCTGAAGGCCAGATATGGAGGATCGTATATCTTTACAATGACAACGAGTTGGGATCATGAGGAAGAAGTGGAGAGGATGGTGAGGAACCTGTCACCAAACGCCCTCAAGACATACCGGCTCTCGGGGACGCAGAAGTTTGAGCTGCCCAAAAATGAGGTTAGAATTGCAGATGTGTTCCACACGGTCGATTGTGCGAAGCGTCGGTTCGCGGTGTTTGCGTGGGGTGTGGTTGACACTACTCTGGAGGATGTGTTCATCAAGGTTGCTACAACCGCAGGATCGCCGTCTGCCACACTTTCATAACCTCGACCTTGTTAATTAATATTTAATATAATTTATTGAATATTATTAGAAGATGTTTTAATTATGTATGCTGTTAGATTTATATACTGATTAACTATATATTTCGACAGAGATTAGTATAAATTTTAAAATGTATGCATGATTATGTTACTTGGGAAGCAAGCGATGGTGAACCACTTGAAGGAGGAGATTTTTGTTTATAATTTAAAAAAAAAAAAAAAAGAAGAAGAGGAAACTGTTTGAAATTTTCATGAAATTAAAGTTACCGGGCACAAGAAATGTTCGGTGTAATGCACCGAGCTCACACGCAATATTTCGGTGTACTGTGCCGAAATCCAAGCTTTCCTATGCACGCAAGGAAAACTGTAGAGACAGGAGCCCCATAAAATATCAGTGCCCCCCTTCAGTTTTGTGCTCTCTCTCTCTCTCTCTCTCTCTCTCTCTGTGAGCGAAAGAACGCGAGATGGAGGAATCAACCGATTGCAAATACTTCGAGAGCACGAAAGGTGACTGGCTGCGGCCAGTCGTTTTTTTATCAAGGAAGAACAAATGACGCAGACTATCCGTAACTCCTTGAAAAGGGATTGCCAAAGCATGTGTGAAGAGGACGGCGATAGTACTGATTCAGCGCGTTTGGAATGCAAGAAGAGGAAGACGATGATGAAGAAGAAGAATGTCAAGAAAATCATGGGAGGCTCAAGCAAGATCGCGAAGAAGAAGAGCTCTGAGCATTGGTTATGCAACTCGTGTACTTATGATTATCGGGGATGAGGGATCGAACTTGAGCGTTCGTAAAATGCTTTGGTGATTAGAACTCTCAAGTTAAACCATTCGATGCACCTTGTAATTAGAGTTAAGTTAATAAAAAGAGATTACGGATGATGATTTCACATTAACTAATCAGTACTCAGTCCATTACAGCAAGATTTTGATACTCTTTGGGAGATAATGCCGCTTCCATGACATGGTACGGGCTAACTTTCCCGTCATTGTCTAAGAACAACCTAAGTAAATCCTTGGAGAAGCCGCCGAAGATGGTCACCCCTGGTTTCGTGCAAGGCGCCAGCAGGGTGTCAACCATCCAATACACAATCTCCGGCACTGCATTCTCTTACCCTTTCTCCTTAAACATGTTTCGTGTTGCCTTGTATTTGCTCTCCCAACGGCTACTATTATTACTATTGGACAAAGCACAATCAAAGTATGTATTGGTGAACACAAACACCTTCTTGATCATCTGCTCCGCCTTCAAATTCCCATTCATAGCCGCTTCGAAATTCAAATCAAACACCTTCCGCAAATCAATATGCTCACCGCAGTCCAATCTTCTCACAAACGCGCACTTGGACTTAAGATCATCGCCTTGTACTAAACGCAGGTCGGGATTCGGACTGAAATTGATCACCTTTCCTTTCCAACTCGGCTCTTCACTCAGTTCGGACACTAGCAGCCCCATCGCAACTGAAACATCCGCGGAGATCCCCACCATGGAAGAAGGCGACACGTCACACACAGCCAGGCAGTTTTCCAGCTTTCCTACTTTTGCCTCCACGATTGCCTTCCACTGAAGCTCTGCTGCTTGCCTAACACCGCGGTTATTCACATATTCTACGATCTCATTCGGAAGCAGAGCACATGCCGCAATCTTGGCCTTGCCACCAGCTTTCACCTCCTCCAAGTACTCCTTAACTGCGCAGGGCTTTGCCGAAGAATCAAAGCCCTGAGAGTAATCCAAGGTGAACGTCAACGGCACCAAAACCTCCTTCCTAAGGCGGTCTCGGACTCTGCATCCGCCATGCGAAGATTCTAGCGGGAAAATCTTCCTCGCAATGCTTTCACACAGCAAGGTGGCACGCTCCATGGAAGAATCCACGGAGGGGCAGAAATACGGCACCGAGCTTTTCTGACAAATGTCCCCCTTCTTCAACTTTTCAAGATCGTTGGACAAGTCTCGGAGGTTGCAAATGAGCTTGAGGGTGGTCAGTGGATTGTGTGACCATGCCAGGGGAAGTAGCTGCCTGAGATACTTGTAGGAATGGGAGTAGGAATCGGAATGGGGGACGAGCACGTGGAAGAAGAGATCGAGGCAGGGATTGCCGTAGGAGGAGGGGATGAGGAACTACGGGGAAACCGAATCAGAATCCGAATCCGAATGGAGTACGTGGAAACGATGATCAGTGATGATGTCGTTGAAATTTGCAACCATGAAAACAGGGTCTTTTTCTCTGGGAATGAAAAGGGTTCCGAGTTTCGGGTCGGAAAATCGGACCGGAGAGAGTTGCGAAAAGTTTTTGAGATGGATTTTGTTTGGGTTGGAAAGTAGTGGAGAGAGGAGTCTCGCCATTTTTGATGCAGCTTTCATGATTTTCAGAACCATTTTTTTGGTGAATATTTTGAAGGGCCGGTCGATGTATGGTTATGCCGAAATTTTAATGTCGGTTGTTTTGCTTTGCTTGCGCGCCAAGGATCTTACTCATTTAGGTCGTGACTTCAAGAAGAAAGACACAACAGGAAATTGGGATCCTATTTGTTGCGTAGGGTCTCCTGCTTAGGTGACAAGTGCCCTACAAATGACATAAGAGTTAGGTATCTTTACTCAAAATTTCTTCCTATATTGTATATTCCTACTCAGTGTTAAAAAATCAATGTACTCTTACTCAATGTTAAAATATCGATATACCCTTAGTTAGTGTCAAAATATCGACATAGTTGAAAATACCGGTTATCTTTGACAAAAATTATGAAAATTTGTAATGGGGTGGATGTATCAACTTGTTTAGATTTAGTCAAAATTAGAGAAAAATTTCTCAAAAGAATTCAAGATTGCGAAATCTACAATGGGTTCCAACAAAATTTCTATAGTGAAAATGGTAAATATCATTAATATTTATTGATTTTTTTATATCTCGCTCATACAGAACAAAGTTTGCATTTCACCCTCCCTTCCATATCAATCCTTGATTTTTCAGATATATCGATGAAAATATCAGTAATTTCGTGAATATTTTAAACACTACTACTAGAATAGCTCTTGCATCGAGTACGACCTAGATGGATTTAGGTCCTCTCTCATACTTTATGATGGATACCGTAGTAATAATGTGATCGGACAACTCTATCCAAATTTTCTCCAAGCATGTGAATATGCTTCAATTGAATTTAGATATAGTTTTGTTTTGATTTTATGAATAAGTTGCCCGTTTTGGTGTGAATATGCTACATTTTCGTAGATCTATAGTCTATAATCTCCAAGCATGTAGCTCAATTGTGCATTCTATGGTGAGCTCGAAATAATTGGCCATGCCATAAAGAAATGGATAATGTATGAAGTTGTGAACACAGTTATAAGCGGTTTCAACGCATTAATATTTAATACCAACCGGAAACATGCGCTATTGTCAATTACAACTGGATTCGAAGGGTGCAACTGGGACTGGGAGAAGCTTTTAACCATGCTTACAAAAAAGCCGCTCATTGAAAGTACAACAAAGATCGATCCAGCTCCATGCTACGATAGTTGTTGAATAGACGCTAATATTCCGGTATAACAATTTCTGCCGGATCTTCATCCAAATCCTGTTTACAAAACCCTAAGTTAAATGATTAAAACTAAATAGCACCGCAAAGCTAAACATGACATAGTCTAGGACAGAAGTGATAAAGTCTAGTTTCGAATAAACTCTGGTTTATAGCCGCCTGATACTGATTCCGTGAAGCAGATCGATCATAGTAAGCCTATTGTATCCTCCCTTCAAGAATTGACGACTCACCATAATAAAAACATATATTCGTATAGGCAGACCTGGACATCATAACTCGGGACTTGTCTTGTCCTCAAAGGAAAAGTATCCTAATACACAACGGCATCAGACGTTTTGAATTTGAGGAACTAAACTCTAAATAGCTCAGCTAATGACAGAAAGGAAAAGCAAGACAAAACTCCCATTCAACAACACACAAATGGGTAGAAACGCAAACACTAGGAACTAATTCTTCAAAATTACATTAAACCTGGAAGAGGAATTGGGAATAAACTCTCACCGATAAAGGGTTAAAAAAGATTACAACATCTCTAAATCCTGTGAAGTAAAAGAATATTGCATAGCATTGTATAACAAGATAACAGAGTTACAGCATCAACGCTAAACCAAATGGCATTAGCTGCAAAAGCATACCTTCTCATTCAGCATTCAATAGAGAACCATTTTCTGCATTGGATTCCAGGTTCCATCCTCTAAAGCGAGTAACAGCTAATTAGTGATCAAACTAGTAAAATGAGTGCCACAAAAAACACACCAGACAGGAAAAGGTGGATTACCTTTTGGCTGCTTCCCTCCTCAATCCTTCAAGATGGTTTTCAAGATTAACACATGCAGATTGAATTTCTATATTCTTCTGACAAAGCTCCTTCCATTGAGCAGACAGAGCATTGAGCTCATACGCAGTGGTTTGCTGTCATCAATGAAGAAGTAAATTTATCAGATCAGAGTAATATTAGGATCGAAATAGTACAAAGTCAGCAGGCAGATAGGTTAAATCACCTGATGATGTTTTCTTTCACGATTCACTGTTTCAATATTTTGATATTGCTCCTGAGCTAATTTCTGCATTCTGAAAAATAAAAATGCATAACACACATAACATTACTTCAAGCATCATGAAATGCATTATTCAAAGAATCATCATGTACTGCACATGAAAATTAGAACTTTCAGCAATAATATCGATCTTAAACGCAAAATTAAGTACATCATGTAAATTTTCAGAACAGAAAGTCTAACTGCAAACAATTCAGACGGTTGAACACCTTTTGATAAAGTACATGTGCAAAATTTAATTGGTACAAATGCATACATTTAAACACGTGTGTGTGCATAGGTACATGTAGGAGAATTACGTATGTGAACAGGAATAAGCAATGTCATATGTATGTGGGGTGCACAGTCCCAAAAGGGGCGGTACTACTAGACTACTAATGCGGCATCTACGGAATGAATCGATTCACAATGAAGAGGTAACTATAAATATTGCAGTTTTTTATATGAAATCCGATGGGCAAACCTCGACAAAATTGATTGCAATCGATTGTTGTTCTGAATCCAGGCTTCAGGACCATACTTGTCAATCAGCTCCAAATTCTCCAACCTACAATTCAGACACTCATTTCATCAACAGTAAACATGACTCAGATATACATATCCATACTACATATACACAGCCTATACAAATATACAAATCTGTATGTATAGATTACCTGACGGCTTGGTGCTGCAGAGAGTACTGAGCTTTCTGGAGAGCAAGCTTCCAAGCAGTTTCATCATTCAATTTATTCACCGGCGGCGGCTCCACTTTGTCTCTCGAAAAATCAATCGCCACCGGAGGCCTCGACGCTCTCACCCGTTCGTACTCCCTAGCCAGCATCGGATGATCCTGCAATTTCAAATTCCAAAAGTCAGGCACAAAAAAATCCTTATCGACGCAGCCAAACAGTCCCTTAAAAAGAGACAAACCCTAGGAATTTGGGGACTGACCTTGAAATTGGGCTTGGGAAGCGGCGGCAACTCCTTGAGGAAATCGGCCGGCTTCTTGGCGCTGCGCCGCAACTCCTCCTCCACCATGCGGTCGACCTCGCGCTTGACGTCGGGGTGGGCGTAGTCGTCGTCGATGTAGGGCAAGGCGTCGATGGTTTCGGCATTGGTTAGAGGTCCCGGCCATGCCGGACCTTCCGGCGGCGGAGCTTCAAGCATCAGGACGTCATGGTTGCCGCCGTTGCCATTGGTGTTCACCATTGTTGTCCGCCGAGAAGGTCACTGAGCGTGAGCTTCAGAGACGCGGTGAGTGGAGTTTCGGGGGATTTGTGTTTGTGAATTGAATTGAATTGTTACTTAAACGCAGCGTTTGAACCCGAACCCGTTTTTCGTTGGGGCAGAAACATGATTTAGGGCACGCACGTTTGGAAGATTTGGGGATAACAAATTTCTTTCCGATAACCAAAAACACTTTTGATATTATTTGGTCTAAATAAAAGGATTCATTTGCTATATGTTTTTGTAAATAAAATCTATTATGTGCTTTTCTAAGAAGTATTTTCAAATGATTCTTTAATAAACATTTAAGTTAAAAAAAAAAAAAAAACATTGATCGACAAAACTATTTTTGAAACAAGCATTTCCAAACAGGCTCAACGAAATTATACTTTGGAAAATACCAAGGCCACTAAATTAAGTAATTTGAACCTTCCAAATTTTATCCAATGATCCACCTGTTTTGACTCCTTAAAAGCTATGATAATTTTTTACCGTTGAATAAAATTTAAAAAGCCAAATCACTTGATTCGGTGACTGTGATAGGCATTCCATTGAATGAAGCCCACTTCCCTCCTAGAAGAGAAAGCCGCTTCCTGTACTTGGGTCTTTTGGTTAAGTCAAATGACAAAAGACCCATCTACGTGGCATCTCGAAGGGTATACCGTCCGTAAATTTTTCTTTCCATTCAGGGCTTCTCCAGGTCTACCGGTAGAATGGCCAAAAGCACTTTTAGGCAGCTAAAAAAACTTCTACCATCGTTTAAAAGAAAATTTTGAAAGCGCTTACAAATCGTAACCAGTTTTTGGAAAAGCGCTTTTTAATAAAGCAAGCATGATATAAGAGATATTACAGCACAACAAATATGAGATGTGGAATTAGAAATGGTAGAAGAACTAGTACAAACAGTAGATTACACTGCAACATTCCTCATCTTTCTCTGTTATTCCTTTAAAACTTCCGAATTTTGATAACTTGAACGCCCCTCAATCATTAGCACGTTCTTCCGCTGCCGGATTTGATTGTAACGCATCAAAAATCTACTTAAAAACCGAAATTCTGAAATTGTGATCCGCCGCGAGTCTCTACTCTAGTCTATTTTCATGTTTGAGTAGATGAGAGTGAAAAAGAGCTCAACTTGTGGTACATTCAGAATGATCTGGATGAACTTGCTTGATTCTTCGAGGACTGAAGGACCCGTCTGTGCAACCCGTGCTAAAACTTTGGCAAGTTGAATTCCTGACTTTAGACTGCCTCCTCCAGGTTGAGCATTCATATCTTCTATCACGGTATCCACCACTGCTCTCAACGCTGTCTCGGCAACACTCCTGAATTCAGCACTGCAAAGAGAAGACAGAAAAGATTTGAGTGACTTCCAAATTTCACCTTCCGAAGTGGAACAAAACACTACTCAGGAAAAAGTCAGGAAGATCCTTCGAGGAATAACAATAACAAGATAAAGTTGCATGATAGAATTAAGTAACACCAAAATCAGTATTACTACGTTTGGTAATGTTGAGATTTGCAATTCGATGCATAGGAGTTGTATCTTAAACTTGCAATTCCATGCAAAGGAGCTGCGGTATTGATGTTACTTTTGAATAAGCATAAGCTGCATCCCTAACATCGCAGACATACCTTGATATTACTGCCCGTGTCTCCAACATAAGTTGGTCAAATTTGGTGACATCTGGAAGGGGTACGTTATCATTGCTGAAGGCCGTGGCTAGTTCATGCCAACGAGCATCCTCAGGCATCAAGTAGTTCACCCAGTGATGGGGATCTCCTGTGCTCATGAACTTTTCAAGTATTTCCATGATAGTTGCATGAAGAACTGTGGTGTTGAAAGAATCCTTTAGCTGCTTTCTGCAAATGAAAAGCATCCAAACTATTTAGTAAGACCTCTAATAGTCAACTAGTAAGTTTGGCTTGCAGAGTTAAGCTACATAGGTCCCTTAGCTTCTTGGTCGTGCAGTGCTATAAGAGATTGAAGCTGGTCAAGATTAAACTTGGGGGCAGTGACAAACTTATGGTAGTTTCTGAGTATTAAGCATTTATTGACATTTGATCGAAAGCCTGGACATTGTCTCATTGACCATGGCATTTAAGAAGAAAAATTCAGGGAAAACATTGATGTGATAGATAAACCTGCCTTTATTTTTCAGACTAATATACAACATGCTAATAGGTGGTCAGACAAAGCTTTACCCATTAAGAACTTCTGTTGCTGCTGCCTGGATATTTGAAATTAAAGCAGGCAAGGCATTACTGGCGAGATAATCAGAACTTGCGAGAAACTTCTGCTGGTCATCCCTATGAATGAGATCAGCATCCTCCTATTAACATAAGAACAATTATATTGCATTCAGCGAAGTTAAAGTAACAAATCAAAACCAATAGTATCGTCCAAAATACACTTCATAGCATGCCTGATGTGAGTGGTATTGCAGATCAACACTAATGTCTATCAAGTGGCTTGGGTAAAATGAACAAAAGTAATGATACTTTTAGTGAGAAAACATTAATCACAGTGCCACCAAGCAGCAATCAGCTATAATATTAGTTTTTGACAAGCAGTGTTAAGAGGAACTTGATCTCTCAAATATATAACCATGCACCCCTCCACCTGTTTCATTGATATCCAGCCTGCCCTACCGCCCAGAAACGGATCCCACCTCTTCAAATAGAATTATGTGTAGATTTCACCATACTTATCCTAATGAAGTATTCTCCCACGATATAACCATAACATCTCCTCAACAACGGTGAAGATGAGGTCACTCAACCACCACCCTAGTTATCATTTCAAACTATTAGATATCCCTAATCCTGAACGAAAGCTTCTTACAATTGACAATCAAAACCGATGCCATATTTGATAAATGATAACTCTTAAAAAACTATAATTTGAATAACTTTTATATCATATAAAATCCTTGAAACAAAATTTTTGGTGATAGGATATACTTCGAATGAACATAGAAGAAACAGATACTCTACACGTCAGTATCCAAGTTTGGTAACATTCACAAGCATACACACACTTTTGAGGTTAACTTTTTCCAGCAATACATTCAGAAGGTACAAGTTCACAAGTCATACTAATTAATTGCACCTTTAACGATTGCTTGACCAAATGTAAAACTCGGCAAGGATATTTCATACTATGTAATAAAGTAGGCACATCAATACATTGCAAACCAAATAAATCAACAATTTGCAAGTACAAACATTCAGCTGCATTGGACTACTTAAAACTTAGAACAATGCTGTCTAGATTGGTATTGCAGTTAAGTAAACACAATTCCACTATCAATTCTGCTGAAATAACTATTTTGAGTAGAAATCATTGGCATACAGTGGAAAAGGAAATAGCTCTTACAATTAAAAGAGAGCTCCCAAGACCTCGTGCAGTATCAATATATAAATGTCTCCCTAATATATTGACTTGAACTCTAATATATAAGCTAAGGATCGTCATTGCCCACAGCGACAACACCATTCTCGTGAAACCTGCAAAAAATACAAGAACAGTAGTAGAAGGTGAGCGAACTATAAATCCCTTTATTTTAGTCAAATAAAGAGAACTCATAAACTATGGTCTTGAAACATGCTAAATATATAAATACCAGGGAATGACAGAAACATACTTAGAATTTTCAGTCTATCCCATAACTCAAGTTTCTCTTGAGATGTCGGTTGCCCCTTCACTTGCATTAACCTCTCAGTAAGGTGAGAAAGGTCCAACTCTTCCGCTATCCGACTACTTAAATAGTACATAGCATGAGGCAGTGTAGTTGTGTCAGCAATTCTTTGTATGTTTTCAAAATGGGCCTGCATTCTATGATCGCAACCATAAAACAATATCGTTAGAACCCAACTAAAAACCAGTTAAAGAATCGAAAACAAAATATACGAGTACTCAAAATGAAATGGGAATCTCTCTTAACTGAGCCTTGATGAGCTCATCGTTTTTCTCTCGCTTGTGCTCGAGTTCGGTCTCCAGGTCAGCAAGCCTTTGTCTGTGAGCATTGTATAATTTGTACAGAAGATACCCACTTCCTAAAACACCAGTTGCAACCAAAACCTTCCTCTTATGCCTTCTCCAAAATCCCCTAGTATCAAACCGGCACATGAAATCAAAGGCAGGCAGTGGCCCAATGGGTGAACATACAAGATTCAATTGCTACCAATTGAAAATTTATACAATTCTTAAAGCAAAGTACAAGTTATTAACTTACTAACATCAAAATATACCAACAAAACGTAAGAACCCACAAAATAAAACAAAGAAAATCTCAAACAAACGAACAATTGAAGCAAGATTAGAGGAAAACAACAATTACCCAGATGAAAAAAAGGTGGAAAATACGAAGAACTAACCTTAAAGAAAGCATCTTTTTGGTGCTACGATAGGCAAACCTCCATCAGCGAGCAGTGAAGTTCTTCCGAGGAAGATGATTCAGAGAAGATAATTCCGAGCGGAAACGGGCAACGATAGAAATTGGAAGCGGTGGTTTCTCGGGCGGAGCCGCAAGCGGTGCATTAAAAACAAAGTTTATTGTCCAATAATAAAAAATAAAAAACAAAATGTAACTGGTGATTTTTATTTACCTTTTTCGAACCAGTGGGATACGATCATACGTAGAAGAAAATATTATATTTTAGCAGTCTCCTTCTCAATGCGATCTTTAAACATTTCAATTGTCTATATAAAGAAATGACTCGTTGACACGAAATAACCACCCTCTGAGTATTTTAGTTATGGGACATCAGTATTTTCTTAGGCAAAACTCGTCTTTGCGGACATAATTTGTGTTGCAATCATTATTCTAAAAATTCCCGTCTAAGCGTTAAGCGATTGGTTACCGTCCTAATTAATGCTTAGACATTTAAAAATTAAGAAATGTCGTCTAAACCTGTTGATGTGCCCGCCTAAACCACCTAGGCACCCTTCTACGTTGCAACTCACTTAGACAGAAAATAAATAACTTTCATTTTGAATTTTATTTTTTTCAATAAATTATAACAGACTTGTTGAATACTTAAATGAACACACATTATAAGCTTGTTCCCCATGTTTTCATTATGTTTTAATACTTCCTAATATATATGTCATTCTGTTTCGTAGTTTATGATGAAATCATATATATTTTAAGTATAAATAGACACTTGTTTACATGAAATATAATATATTTACTTAAATCCGCCTAGCCGTTTAGGCATTAGGCCCCAACTCACCGTTCAACTAGTGCCTAACGTCTTTTGAAACCTTGGTTGCAAGACCTCGAACTGAGTTTTCTTATTAATGGAGTAGGGTGATTCGAACTTTAGAAAGTGAATTTTAAACAATTATAATTTCCGAGAAGTAAATTTGAACTCGAATGCAACCAACACATTGTTGTACCTATTTCCAATCTAATAGGGAATATAAAGCCCCACTTTAGAATCTAATTGGGCTTCAAGAATAGACCCAAGCTTTAGAATCTAGTTGGGCCTCATCCATACCGGGCCGGGTCACCAAACTAAAGCAACCCAAACCCACACACCCACCCCAGTTTTTCGGTCTGGCTCATCTCCCTCAAAACCCTATCTCTCTCACCTATATATTCTTCTTTTCTCCCGTTTTTCCCTCTTCACCCTCTCGTACGCCTTCCAGCCTCCCGCATCTCTGAAAACCCTAGCACACCCGCCGCCGCGCACCACCACCAGCAACCATGGGTGAGAATCTCGTTCTCCGCGGCACCATGAGGGCTCATACCGACATGGTCACGGCCATCGCCATCCCAATCGACAACTCCGAGATGATCGTCAGCGCCTCCCGCGACAAGTCCATCATCCTCTGGCACCTCAACAAAGACGAGAAGACCTACGGTGTCCCCCGCAGAAGGCTCACCGGCCACTCCCACTTCGTCCAGGACGTTGTTCTCTCTTCCGACGGCCAGTTTGCCCTCTCTGGATCCTGGGACGGCGAGCTCCGCCTCTGGGACTTGGCCCTCGGCGTCTCCGCCCGCCGATTTGTTGGTCACACTAAGGATGTGTTGTCTGTTGCATTCTCGATTGACAACCGTCAGATCGTCTCGGCTTCCCGTGACCGCACGATCAAGCTCTGGAACACTCTCGGTGAGTGCAAGTTCACCATTCAGGACCAGGATGGGCACGGTGATTGGGTCAGCTGTGTGAGATTCAGCCCCAATACGATGCAGCCCACCATCGTCTCGGCCTCGTGGGACAAGACTGTGAAAGTCTGGAACTTGTCCAACTGCAAGCTGAGGAACACCCTTGAGGGCCACAATGGGTATGTGAACACCGTCGCGGTTTCTCCTGATGGTTCATTGTGCGCCAGCGGAGGCAAAGACGGAGTTATTCTGCTCTGGGATTTGGCGGAGGGCAAGAGGCTGTATCATCTCGAGGCCGGCTCCATCATCCACGCTCTCTGCTTCAGTCCCAACAGGTACTGGCTGTGTGCCGCAACCGAGCAAAGCATCAAGATTTGGGACTTGGAGAGTAAGTCCATTGTGGAGGAGTTGAAGGTCGATCTGAAGACTGAGGCTGAGAAGACTGAGGATACCCATGCTGCTACTTCATACAAGAAGAAGGTATACTTCTAATTTTTGTTTTCGCTCCTTTCGATTTATTACTGGTTCTATATCTTGTTTCATTTGTGTTGTTTGTCTTTCAATTGTGATTGTTTTTGTAATGTGATTTCGGGCTTTGATGAAATTGCTTATTGCTTATATCGTCTATTTGTTGTTTCTCTAATCTTGTTATCACAAATGTGGTATGTAGCGATTGTGCATAGATGTTATTTATCTTAACTGTTTTATTGATATTAGTAGTATGGTAGCTGACCCCAAAATGGTTGGTACAATGCTCCTATATTTGTTGCAATTTGCATTTGACATGTGCTGTTATCGATTATAGAGTAGATTAACGTTTATGTCTTGGCCATTTCTTCCCTATATACACATTGAATTGGACTTTGCTCTACAGAGTTTCTGCTTTGCTTGGCTTTGAGTCTTTTGACAAATCTTTTCTTTGAAGATAAGTCACATTGCTCACCAATTGGTGATGCTGTTTTGTTTTGAATTGTTTTTGAGCTTTGTGCGATTTCGTATTTTCTTCCCCTGTTACAAACTCATAATATGGAACTTACATTCTTTTGGTATTGTTGACTCTGGTGGTATTCGTTTTTGCTGTATTTGTTTAGTGTTGGTGTTTTGCTCGAATCTTGGTTTTTTCATTCACATTCAGTATTGCATTTAAAGTGCGGAAAGGAACTCCACATTGCGCGAGTGCTTGACAATGTGCTCCGGCCTGTACTTACTTTGTGTCACTGCATTCATAGACATAATTAAGTTGTCAGTTGATAGTAGGTTTATGATTACTAGCGTTTTCATTTGGTGACTGGTTTTATTCGGTTTGTAATCTTTGTACATATTAGTAATGCTTGAACTTTAATTGTTTTGGTTTGTTTAACTTGTGCTCTGAATTGCAGGTTATCTACTGTACGAGTTTGAACTGGAGCGCTGATGGCAGCACCTTGTTCAGTGGCTACACCGACGGAGTTATCAGAGTCTGGGGTATCGGTCGTTGAAATACAAGTTTTGAGTGATAATTTGCCAGAAGTCATGTCTTCTCGAGGACAAATGAGTTACTTTCATGAAATGTAGTTGGTCTAAATGTTTATTTAGGGTTTTGCTATGTTGGATCTGGTGGATTTGAATCATTTTGTTTGACAATGTTGGCTTTGAGGCCAAAGCTTTTTTAGTTTCGGTTTTCAAATTAAGTTGTGATATTTACGTGATTACTGCCCTGGCTTGACGGCATGAATTATTGAATGTCGAATCTCCCGTCCATCCTCAACATGAGAAATTTTTTATTATGATCGGAACATCAGTGGTACAACACATGTTTTTATACAAGTGATGAGAAATTTTATTTTTAAGTTATTAATGTTTTAACACACATCCTACCATCCACCTTAAACAATTGTCAAATTACAGGGATCATAAGAATGAATGACAGCACGCAAGAGAGAACTAGTTTGGTAACCTGATAAGCATGTTCAGTGTCTGGTGAAATGTAAAATATTCGACGTTCGTATCATATTCAACGGAAAGAGGAGGTCGCTCAGGCCCAACTCGATATATCTGTAACATAAACGGAAACTGACGCTATCCCAGTCAATCAGACAAGGAACTCAAAATATTCTTGATACATTTTCAGAAAAGAAAACAAAACAGGCACAGCTTTTTGAGAGCCTTGCACAGGGAAAGTAGATGGCCGGCTTTATCAGTATATAACCTCTTCAAAACTCGGCATCATCTTCCTCGGCTATGTGCTTTGCAAGCTCTTGCTCCTGTTGTTGCCTCTCCCTCCTCTTCTCAGCACTTTCTTTCTCCTTGTGGGAATTTGGTGGGAACCTAAGTGCCCGCACTACATCGTTGTGCAAATTGAGGCAAAATGCAATTCTTGTGTCGAATGCAGCTTGGGGCCCGTTAGTAGAGTAGATATCCCCAGTTTCCTTTGACACCATCCATCCATTTGCATGATCCAGAGTGGCATCAATTGCACCATCTCGGATTGCCTTCACCACAATGCTTTCAGCATCAGCAACCGGGTTTGGAGAGTCCAATCGCAACTCTTTAGCAACATCAACCAGAGAAAACGGGAATAAGAGACGCTAATGTTACGCAACCCAGTCCTTATGACATTATGTCGCAGCCTAACAATCAAATTGTGGGTTCGGTCTGCATTGAATACATCCGAGAACTTTTCTGCAATATATTCTTGAAAAGCTCCAAGTCACCAATTCTCACAGCATTTGTTATTTCGAAGTATGGCCGCAACGCCTTCTCCATGCCTTTTTGCATAAAAACGGTTCTCTCAGGGATTTCTCCAAGCAACAAGCGTACAATGATTGCCCACTTGTTGCACTGAATCCGAAAACCAAGGGCTGCTATAGGAGCTTTCCTAGCAGCTTGCAGGAGGTACTCCTTTGCATCAGTGTACTCCAACTGAATTGTTCTGATCTTTCCTAGGTAAAAGAGATACCGGCAGAACTGCTGGTTGGAGTGAGCCTCAAATCGAGGTGCCTTGGACCTCAGTTTCTCTGCCTGATCATACAGGTTATAGTGGAGATAATTGCAAAGCAGAAGATTAAGAAGTGTTTCCTGACCCAGCTCATCATGGTGCAAAGTGGCAATACGGTGAAGATTCAGGAGATTTCCTCTAATTTCTGCAAGATCACCAGTGAGTTCATAGCTCAGGGAGTAATAGAAGTACAGCCTGGATGCCAGAACGTCAATGGTTCTCCTATTCAAGTTCTTAATACGAGCAATGCTTGCCGAGGCACAGGCTTTAGCCTCTTTGTACTTTTTCTGATCAATCAGAAAAATGAGCACAAGCAAGTAGGAGTACATCTCTAGCTCTGGCAAGGCATGTTTTGCGGGAACTTGAGTAGCAGATGTTGTGGTATCAACGTCCATATCCTGTTCATCATCCTTGGGAAGAAAGGATGATAAACGGCTATGAACCTCAGATCCCGGTGTAAGGGCAAAATTGAGGAATGCTGAAATCACAGAAACCTTCAGCTTCCGCCTCAACACCATCGTTAACCTAACGGCACGCACAATCCGCCTAACCTCCCGTGTATAAGCAGCAGTCTCAAGGAGTGAAGCAATCTCCTTCAAATTGTGTAAAGTTGACGGAGAAGTCGAAGAAACTGAGTTGGAAGGCGCCGGGACCTCCTTCATCTCCACGTCGTGAGTCATCTTGTAGAGACTTGAATCTGGCGGCGGCTCGCGCTGATCGGAATCGATTTGGCGACTGATGAACCAGGGTTTTGCGACGGTTTCCTCCTCTGCAAGTTTATGCGAGAGAGAAGAGAGAATACGAGGAACAGTCTCCCAAATCTCAACCATTGTTGCCGCCTGAATACGAGGAACAGTCTCCCAAATCTCCCAAATCTCACATTCTCTACATTAGAGCACATAGCTTATAGCCGAGTTCGAAGGCCACAGTGAGGAAAAACCTCACTGTGTAATCAACCTCGTTCTCGCCCTCTTCCTCACCGCGAGGAAAAACCTTCCTTGCGATGCTTTCACACGGTGGAATAGTAGTGACAGCAATACAGCCGGCATTGTAATCGTAGGACGTGCAGCCGTTTTCTATGGGTCCAAGGACAAAGGGCGCACTTGACTTGCTAAAATCACACAATTCATTTTCTCATTGGGCTTCTTTTTCTTCAACTATTCAAAATCAGACCTAAAGTCGGCCGCAAAAACATCTGAAACACGATTGTGTAAAAACTGATAATTGGGGTCACGCTCGTACCTTTCAAGAACACCCTTCTTGTGGATGGCAACATCAATGACACTATCGTGGGTGCCTCCTTCTGGAAGAAGAAGCCGGTACAGAATAGTGACAAAGTCCTTTAAACTGCCAAAAGAAACCTGGGAACGTTTGCCGCCTGCAATAGCCTCGATGTTGCAGGCTAGGGTTTTGGGGTGGTTGTTGTGGAGCCAAACCAGCGCCTTGTGGAAGAATTCCCTTTCCCTTGTTTCATAGCGGTTTGCTAGGTTGCAAATGAGCTTGAGGGTAGTAAGGGAATCGTGGGACCAGGCCAGCGGCAGCAATGACTTCAGACATTTGTTAGGGTCACAGGAACCAAAGGGTTCCGTCAAGGAATCGGAATACATATCGTCATGGTAGCCAAAGGGTTTATTAAAGGACTCCACATACAGATCAACGCAGGGGTTGTTACCGAAGGAGGAGGATGAGGTGGTGGCGGTGGCGGTGGCGGTGGCGGTGGAAAGAGTAGCAAGTCTTGCTGTGAGGTTTTTGTTACTTGCTCTGGCCACAACTGGGGAGAGGATTTTCCCAACTTTCACTGCAACTTTCATCATCATCATAAACGCACGCACGACAACAATTTGCCTATTCGATCTTCTGTTTAGGGTTTAGGGTTACCGGGGGCGGTAAACAATATGTAAACAAATCCAACTTTACTTTCGGTAGCCATGTATAAATAAATAAAGTTATTTTTTTATAGTTAACATGGTCATTGAGATTGACATAATTTCTTATTTTGGTCTTTAAAATTTGAAATCGATAAAAGTAATCCATGAATTTGTCTACGATCAATCATTTTGGTCCTTTAAAAAATTTATGTTAAATAAGCTTTAAAAAATCTATGTTAAATAAGGATCAAAATAACAAAAAATACTCTTAATTTAATAAACAATGAGTCAAAATGATTTAACAAAATTGAGGGTATATTTTGTCATTTTTTTCTTATTTAAGGGATATTTTGGATAAAAAATCATAAATAAATAAATAATCCCCAAATGATGGAAATTCATGATTCTTACCATCTAAATTTCTGATATTTAGTGTCGAAGTGGCAGAAAGTATTGTAGGAAATAATCACATTGATTATACAGATCTTCTTTCTGTTTGGAGAATGGCATCAACAAGCGCGACCATAATGTCCAGGACTCCAACCCTTGCCACAATTCCATCGGGAAAAATATGGAGAGGGAAAAAAGCAAAAGTCTGGCATCCACATATCCACTGAAGACTCAAAGAGTTCGAATGACTTCCAAACTTCCAAATCACAGCTTTTGCAAATGTCAAGCACACGCACAATGTCAACATCAAATTTCAAGATTTGTCAATCACAAGATATTCTCGGGATTGATACGAGGATAAAAGAAATATATATATATATATATATATATATATATATATATATATATATATTAAGAGTGACTTCAAACTATATCTCATACAGGAGACAAGCAAACGTTTTCAGTGGTATTTGTAGACATTGAAATTTCGTTGGTTGAAATTCAAAATTTGATCATGTGGTTAGTCATAATTGACTAGAATGAGTCGTGTGCTTATATAAAATACACGTAGCACATGATTCACTAAGGTAAAATGGGCTATCAGACGTGACACATGTCTTCATGAGGAGTTCCATTCAAATTAATGAAGCCAGATTCCAAAAAAGAGCAACTGATCATTTGGTCAAATTTCCTCTATTTTATTTTTTGACCAAATTTTTTTCCCTCTATTTCACAAACCAAGGGATTGAAATTGGATCTTCCAAACCAAAACTCACTTCTTGATCTTGAACAAATTAAGATCATGAGGAGTTTCACGAGGTGGGTGGTCTTCAGCTTTGATAGTAAAAAATCGGCAAATTTGTTTGTTACGTTTGATGATTCTCCATAAGTGTTTGGGTGTTTGTATTAGTCATAGAGCTTTATGAGTTTCCTTTCTAAAATCCCTTCTAGGTCACAGTTAGTTGACTAGGTAGTGTCTCTATACCTTTATACTCAAATCCAACTCCACTCATTTTGTAACCCCAGTTTGAATTCCCTCCCAAATAGATTAGAGCACATGGCTTATAGCCGAGTTCGAAGGCCCTCCCTAAAACATTAGAGTAGTTTATTACTCCAGTTTGAAGCAAATTATAGTAATTTTCCAGAAATATAGAGAATGTGAGATACCAAAATACTTGCTAGGTTTCTTGATCGAAATGGAGGTTACAGCTACAGAGAACTCAAAAGGTTACATTTTTATTCTCCAAACTTGGACTAGAAGCAAGCTAGTGCTTGTTTCCAGTAAGTAGCTTCTTGAACCAGTAGGCGGACATCTTTGGGTATCTCTTGAGGGTTTTGAAGTCTACGTAGACAATGCCAAATCTGGAAGTGTATCCCAGCCTCCATTCAAAGTTATCGAGCAACGACCAAGCAAAGTAGCCCATCACATTGGCTCCGTCATCTGCTGCCTTCTTCAGTTGAGTTATGTAACTCCTGTAGAAGTTGGCCCTTGTCGTGTCACGCAATCCCTCCGCAAGTGTCACATTGCCAGGGTCGTCCATTCCTGCAAATCGAAGAACACCAACTGATTCACAACTACGAAAGAAAAATGAAAACTAATCAGTAACTACTTGTAGTTTTCTTGTAGTGCTACCATTTTCAGATAAAATCACTGGTGGATTTCCATATCGCTCTTTTATGTACATAACAGCTTTGTACAAACCCCATGGCACTTGGTACAGCCAATAAGAATATGCCTGCAAAACGTTCAAATTATCTTCAATGAATAATGCTAAAATTTGAAGTGAAAGGAACTATTGTGATTGGATCATAATTAAGTTACCCTAGGACCAATAGGCACTCCATTCTTTGCATCTGCAAATTGCATGAAATACATACAAGTTAGAAGTGTTTTGGGGTTTATAGAAGCACTTTAGGAGCTTGGTATTGCTTCTGGAAAGAGAGAACATTTTTTGACAATCAAAAGCAATTCTGTATGCATTTGGCAGAAAAGAGTTGGAAGTGTTTTTGGGTTCATAGAAGCGCTTTATGGAAAAACACTTGTTAGATGCTTCTTCATAAATTACTTCAAATTGCTTTTGTGAAAACACTTGGATTTAAAAGAAAATTTCAACTGGTATCTAATGAAACCACTTCTAGCATAAGCGCTTATGAGCATAAGTACTCCTTATAAAAGCAACCTTAAACAAGCATCTAAGGTAGAGAGAGGAAAACATCTTACAAGCAAATCCTGCATTCCAATCCTGCTGGTACCCCAAATCATTTGATTTTGATGGTTTTGGGTGATACATGTAGTAAGTAGTATATTGGTTGATTCCAACATAATCCATTGAACCCTTCACCATCTTAACCTCCTCTTTGGTGAACTTTGGCAGCCTGTCACCAACAATTTCTTGGACTGTTTTTGGATACTCTCCATAAACAATCGGGTGGATGAACCTACGAAAATCCAATCCGACAATTTTTTTAGTTATGATTTCTCTGTTGTAAATTTTCAGAGAATAGAATTCATTACGTATAGTTACCATCCGACATGAAAGTCTCTGGCCCTTTGAGCTGCAAGGTTGTCAGCCTTTGATCTTGTAAGAGGCTCATACCAAACAAAATCCAAGAGAATGCCAATCCTTCCTTTTTGTATTTTCTGAAGAATGCACATTACTCATTTCATTTGAAGACTCCAAAGGAGATACATAAAGCAGCATTTCAAGACAAAATAGTTTCTTTTACCTGATACTTTTCGCGATATCTCTGAACGGCAGCTCCGTGTGACAAAATCAAATGATGAGCAGCAATATAAGGCTCGGTTGCTGAATTTCCAGCCGTGCAATTTCCAAATGCTTTGGAGCATCGTCCTGGAGCATGGAATCCGTTATCATATCCAAGAGCAGCAATCACTCTAGGCTCATTGAAGGTCATCCAGTTCTTCACTCTGTCTCCAAACGTCTTGAAACAAAAGTCTGCATAATCAGCAAAATCTTTCCTGCCAAAATTGAACCACATCTCAGATTCCAGTGCTACTCTTGCTAGTTTGTCATAACATTTTTTGTATAGCAATTTATTCGAAAATACAATCTTGGGCGACGATAAAGTTTGATAGAATTTTCACAGTACTTACACTACTTTGTCACTCAGCAATCCCAAGTACTTCTTCTCAAGAGCTAGGGGAAGATCATAATGATATAAATTTGCATATGGAGTAATGCCTACAGAACAACAAGACATAAAAATCAAAGGCCATAGCTTCATAAGTTGTAGTTCTTACTTCAAATCGCCATCTTAGCGTACAGAAAATTCTATCATACAGCAATGCATGTGACATATTAGCGTTTTTAACCACAAAACGCGACATCTGCACTTTTTACCCTCAGGCATAGAATGATAAAGACCACATTTGAACAGCAATGTATGTCATACATCGTTAGATGATCGGAACTCTCCGTTCCAAAAGTTTCACAGCATTTACCTCTTTTGAGCAAGTAGTTAATTAACCGATTGTAGTATGCAACTCCTTTCCAATTTACATTCCCAGTGCCATCTACATAAATTAAGAAACAGAAGTTTAGAACAAGATAAATTTGAGAAATGAAAGAGGCATGAGAGAGATTAAAATCATTACTTGGAAAAATTCTGGACCATGATATTGAGAATCGATAGGCATCGAAATTTAGGCTTGCCATGAGATCAATATCGTCCTGTTGCAACAAAACCAGACTTTCATTTTCCTAACTTCAGACCTAAAAAAATCAACCACAATCAACATCTACCTTGAATTTGTTTTAGTTTTGTGTTTGAAACTTAAAACGGGCACTTTTGCTCTAGGTCGCAACAAGGACTTTCATTCAACTGAACAATTAATACTACGCCATTATCTTAAACCAATCACGCCCTATCACATAAAGAAGTTAACACACATGTAGTGCGTGATTAGATTGAGATATCACCAGTAATGTCTTGGTCGTGTTTTAAACCTTTGGTTTTTTACACTTGTGAAGGTTGTTTTGAAACCGTAGAGGTTTGGTCATTAGATCTGTGCATGTTTGTCACTAGGCTTATGCATCCTCTGTTTTTTTACAACTGCTTCAACATATGCAGGTTGAATACATCAAAAGGCAGATGAGTCTCTCTAATTTCTTTCTAATTTGTACATAAAAAAAAAAAATCAATTAAAGCGGAAAGAGAAAATAATAAAAGAATTATGAAAAATCCACCAGTTATACTGTAAATAATCTATTTTCTTATAAATTGTCATACAAAATACTTTAGCTTTTTTTTTTTCCGATAAAATTAAAATGGCAATCTTAAGTCAACAAAACTTTCTACTTTTGCAAGAGTCGCTAGAATATCTATCCTTACTTTGCAAAAAGTCTATTTTCACGACTCAAACCCTTCATGTTCCGGTCCAAAAAAAACACCGCTTTTGTTACGCCGCTTTTTTTCGATAAATTTATGATGGGAAAAAAACAAACTTACTTTGTATCGGTGATACTGGTCCACAGCAACATCTGCTGTACCATTATTTGCAATAATTCCTATATCCAAATAAAAAAAAAATATTCAACAAAAAAAAATGAAAAAAATATAACTATTATTTTTCTTATAGTACTGCAAACTGAAATTAAATAAACAAATGTGTTCATAAAACCTGTGCATGTAATTACCGGGAATTTTAACAAAAGCATCCCAAATGCTGGGCCCTCGACCCTCCTTGTTGGCCATGCCTTCGACTTGGTAAGCGGACGTCGCCGTTCCGAACACAAAACCCTTGCGGAAGCTGGCTCTGCTCAGCCCACCTGTGTCCAATTTCACACTCTCCGGCTCAAGAACTGAAGCTCCATTGTGCTCCGCCGCATGCGCGAAGCACTGTATCACAAGAAAACCTAGAAGCATGCATAAAGGAGTTCTCATCTTCCAGCAGCCCAGCTACAGAAGAAATTTAGAGAGAGAGAGTACGGTGTTGAGAGGAGAATGTCGTTTTTATAGATAAGAAGAGTGAGTGAGAGTGAAGAATGAGTGATGAGCCGAATATAATTTTCATTTGCTTCCTAAAATAAACGTACAAAAAGGGATATGGAGTGGAACTGTGGCACCCGATCCAGATCACACTTGGTCCTTGCATGGGGCTACATCTACATGCATGGGACCATCCACATTTCAATCATGCAAAAGGTAATCTGGTGTCACGCTGGAATAAAGTAAACATGTTTTTATTTTACTATTTTAATTGCTATGTTTTTGTCCATTGTAGTTTTTATATTTTGGTTTATTACAACCATTAAATGTATATGACCTAAATTGATTTTTAACCTTATCTTTTGATAAGGAGTAATCTCCTTCACTAACTTTAAAACGTGAGAAAACTTCTCACATTAAATAATTGGATAGAATTCCTTCTCTAAATAGAGAAGATGATCAGGTCCCCACTCATTCTTTTGTTCCGTTTTGAATATTTACTTTTTTGATTTCGTCTGTTTTGATTCTTTAAGATTTTCAAGTCCCTGATTTTGTCAAACTTGCAACGTATACTTTATCTTTTTGCATATATATACACACACACACACACTTAATGGTTTATTACATTTAATGGTTTATATACATTTAATGGTTTATTACCACCATTAAATATATATAATCTAAATTGATTTTTAATCTTATCTTTTGATAAGGAGTAATCTCCTTCACTAACTTGTTAAGAATGCATTTTTGTTCATCACCATTTAGTGTGGTGTATGCTCACCATCCTATTTATCACCGTTAGATGATTTTGAATTTTGAGATTTGTACTTATCCACTACACGAATCTCGAAATTCAAACTTATCTAATGGTGATAAATAGGGTGGTGAGTATACACCACACTAAATGGTGGTGAGCTCCCAACTTTGAAACGTGAGAAAGCTTGTCACATTAAATAATTGGATGGAATTCCTTCTCTGAATAGAGAAGACTAGAAAATAAGTCTGCGCGTTGCGGCGGGAACCACTGTTTTAGGCATAACTGCATGAGTAAGACACATTTAACTTGAATAAATTCAACACAATCATGAATGAACAGAGAGACACATGAGTGAATGAGGTCAATAAGAAACAGAAGAAAATAAAAAACATGCAGTTCACATACATTTTGTGTAGTTTAGATAGCAAAATATGTGTAGGGCATACACCTATTTCAGCACTTAATAAAAAAAACATAGAAAGTGTTAAGTACTTGTTCAAGTATCTAATTTTCCAAGCACAAGCGTTCAAAGGCAAAAATATGCAGAAGCCCCGTTTCCGTATGAAACAGAAGAAACAGAAGAAACAGAAGTAACATGCAGTCAAATGGACAAAAAATTCAAATGTACCAAGTAACTAAATGTACCATTACAATCAAACGTACCAATATAACCAAACGTACCTAACAACGAGTTTTATACATTATGTTTAATTTACTAAAATAAATATTTTAATAAAAAATAAAAAAAATCTTAAATCATCATAATAAGAGATGCATAAAAATAAGAGGAAAAAAAAGGGAATGCTAATGTGAATAGACTTCTAATGAAATAAAATTAAAGTACCAAAATTGTAGGGAAAATGTTTAATCAAATTTGCAAAAGGAATAAATGTTTAGTCTATGACATGTAAAAACGAGACGTCTATATCAAAACGTCTCTAATATTATACTATCAGAAACAGAAAAAATATTGAAAAAATTTGAAATACGTCCAATTTTATAGGCTAATTTTTCAAATAGGTCCAATTTTTAGTGATTTTTTACTTTTAAAATAGGTCTAATTTTTTGTTAATTTGGACTCAAATCAAAAGACCCTTAAAATATTTAAGGATTGATTAGGACAAGTAACGTATGGAGTTGTAGACATGATTTGTCATTTACAGATTTACTAATCGAAGGCAGGGTAGATTAGTAAAGTTGGATTGCCTTTCTCGGGCGTCGGCAGGCAACTTGACAATTTGGACCAGCACACTTCTGTTTGTGATATCTAGGCTTTGAATTTACCAGAAGACAATGTGGGGTTGTGATTCCAATTTCTAAACCGTTTGATTAAGATCAAGAAATCTTTGATCCAAAAAAAACAAAAAAATCAAGAAATCTTATCGTAGGAGACTAAAGTAGCTTCATAATATATAGGCAAAAGAAATACTAAGAAGACTCTCTCAAAGTTAGACTTTGCATACACCTCACAATTTAATGTTAATTTTTATACTAATTTATACATTTTATATAAGAAAAACATGAAATGACAAATAATTTATAAAAAATTTCGCTTTAAAAAAGTTTCATGAGCATTTCTCCTGTATGCAAACCCAGGTGATCATTTTAGTCAAAAATTGCTAGTATAAAAAGATGAAAACTACAATAATTGAAGAGATAGTGACATACTACCATGATCATTTTCTCAAAAGTAAAAACATTCATCATTACATTGGCATTCGTGAAAATCTTATGTTGGTCAGCAAAATCACGTATTCGTGCGGCCAAACACAAAAATTCAATCAACTACTAACAGAAGCATAAATTGGAGGTGATTTATTTTGCATTTTATGTTTTTATGTCGATTTTCCAGTGTCATTTTTAAAATGACATAAAGTTATGGTCCCTGTACGTATTTATTTTTGTGAACCGTAGGTCCCTAGTTATACGAAGGGCCCGACCACCACTGTGGAGATTTTCCGTAGAGAATCGACAGTCACATACTTTTTTTGTTCTAAATTATGTTCATTGATTTCATGTAAATTATTCAATTTGATGATCGAAAATAAACAAGAATGTTTAAGAGAAAAAAGAAGTGTGGTTATCAATTCTCTTTATAGTAATGCTTGATTTTGTTCTTTGATTTTTTTAGATCAATCCTCTTGCTTGTACTTAGAGCTTGTTTTTCTTTTAAAATGATTGAAAGTACTTTTATAAAAAATGTTTTTTTGGTTCTAAAAGCATTTAAAGTACTTCTTACAAAAAACATCAATTATGTACATCTTAAGCTTTAAGTGTTTTTTTAGGTTCACTTGAATTTTAACTATGAATTAATTTTAAAAAAAAACATTTTCACTAAAAGCATTTTCAGCCCTTTTAAAAGTACTTTCGAATGGTTCCTTATGTGTGTTTGTTTTGTATCTAGAGTGATTTGACGCTCCTCTATGCAAACATGGTAGCGACTAGTGAATGACAAAGCGTAGAATTTGTGGCAGAGATTTGGATCCCATCCAGATTTAAATTGTGAGGATCTTAGGGATCTTCACATTGTAGCCATTTATCGTACATCATGCAGTTATAAATTATTTTGAATTTTTTTTATTTAAAATTAAATAATAAATAGTACCTAACGAAAATTGATCGTACGGTGTATAATGAACAGTTAAAATGTGAGGACTCTTAAAATAGTCATCCTTGGGGCAGGATCTTAGATTGGTCATTGGTAGACAGTTGTCCATTTTCAAGGAGACCCAATTGAGGGATGGTTGATAAGTATGTGAATAATTTCTTCAGCAGACATTGTTGAAGCACGTGAACTTGAATTTTGGATTCTAAGATGACAAGCCTGCCTACTTGATGCTTCAATAATTGACCATGGAGAGGAACACAACAAATGCCATAATTAAGTGCATCAGTTTTCCGAGGCCCTTGAGATTTGAAAAAAATGAATTTTCCGCATCATTGTCTAAGCTGATGAGTGCAGAAAGAGAAAAGTGGTGTGTCGGAATCCTTCGCATCAAAGAGATGTGAAGAATGTGCAAAAGGTGAAATTACTAATAGCATAATAATAAAATACTTGGTACATCGCAAACTACTTCATATTAGTAAAAGCTTAAACGTTTTGAGTAGTGTTGCAATTAAATTAAAACAAGTTTTGCTATTTCCTAACGAGAAATTTTCACTCCTAATATGTAAGAAGTCGTTCTGCTTTATCAATAGAGCTCAGTTTGACTTAGAATGCCAAAAAACTTTCTTTTGCTTTTTTTAATGATTTACCATTACACATGTATGAGACTATGATTTGAAGGGAAAAGAACGCTTTGTATATAAGAAGCCAATATTTAGGTTTTTTAATGTATTGGGATCATTCCAACAAAAAAAAAAGAGAGAGTGTATTACTGTATTGGGCTCATGGGGATGTGAGTCGCGGGTCACCCAAATTAAGTTGATCCCGCCAGATGGAGTGGGCCGGCCCAAATCATACCAAAAAAGGCGGGCTTTAAATCGGCGCGCAAGACTTTGAAGGATACAATACAAAGCTGTGCGTTTCATGTCTGAAATAATCAAACTAAATCTCATTTTTCATTTTTCTCGGCAACCAAACATTCATTTTCTCGCGTTTTTTTCCCACCCTGATCCGGCGAAACGATCGGAAGCGCCGATGGACAAGGTGGAGGAGGAGGTGGAGAAGGCGAAGAAGGAGTGGGACGAAGCGTACAGTAACGTCTTACAGCAAATAAAGGCGATCGAAGAGTACGGTGAATCCACCGGAGCTGCTACTATGGAGTCGCAGAAGGACTCGCTGCCCAGGATGAACGGGCTTGCACAAGACGGCTTGTCGTTGCTCAATTCATTGCAGTTCAAGCTCGATCTGTTCGCTCCGCAGTTGCCCACTGACGATCAGGTCCAATCCGCCAAGGCCTTGCTCGAATCCTGGAAAAATCGATCCCACAGGTAATGGAATTCTCAGTTTACGTTTCTGTAGAAGTCAAGGAATTGAATTTTTGATTTAGGGTTGTTTCAGTTCATTTATATTATTCAATTTCATGCAACAAATTAATCTCTTTAATATATTTTTTGGTAAATTAAAGCTCTTCAATTGAAATGTAAATATTGATTTTTTTTTTTTGGTAATTCTATTGTTTTTGTGGTTTTTCTGATCAGTTTGCGCTTGAGTTTGAGGAATGCAAATTTGCAAGCAAAGGCTAACATGAGGAAAGCTGCTCAGAAAGAGGTATTGGACTACTTTTTCGGAATAATTTTGGTTAGTTTATGAATCTCTTGGACGATAATGCTTCACATTACCATTGTGAATCGTTGTGCGCTAGATCGTATTGTCTTTGGGTTAAACTGTTTTTATGTGGATACTGTTTGATTCCCTTGATGTGAGACAAAACAAGATAGTTCTTGGTGGATTGTCCTTTATTGAGAAACGATGTTTGGAACGAATTGTGATTGATTTAGCTGTATTCGTTGCAGAGAGAACTTCTTTTGGGAGGTGGAGAAGAGTCCACGATTCGTAGACGCAACTTACAGTACGTATCAACTTCTAAATGGCTTTCAGTAAACTGGTATCTATTTTTTGTGTTTGCTCCACTCGTTTACATATGCATCGTCGTTAAGCTGGAGCAAAATTTTGATGAGTTTGACTACAGTTTTCTCATACTGTTAGATGAATTTGTTATTTAAAAGCTTTTGATTTATTGGTTTTCTCCAGAACAAAGGCTGGAATGACATCTGCTGCAGAAAGCATCACAGAGAGCCTTCGCCGTACTCGTCAACTGATGGTTCAGGTTAGTTGCCATATTTTATTTCTTTTCGATTTACTTTATTGCTTACATCTTTATGAATCTGTTGTATGAGTCTTTTGGTGGGATGAAATATTTGGTTTTCTTATTTGTTCATCTGTAGGAAGTGGAACGAAGTGCTGGCACACTCATGACTTTCGGTGAGTTTCCTTCATTCTTCTACGTCAAATTAGTTTGTATGTGCTTAGGGTGTGGCACTGCAATTTTTTTTGACTTCTTTGAACAGCTTATCTAATGACAACGTGCCTTAGAGATTGTCTACGTTAAAGACATAATGTATACGTCATTGATCTAGTTCCATATAGAACTACCTTTCTGCTTGTATGCAATATTTGAAATATCAATATTAGTATTACAGATTTCGAAAGGTTGTTTTCTGTCGTTAGATAAATACTATATGTGTTGGTTTGTGCAGAGGAATCCACTGGAGTGCTGAAGAAGGCTGAAAGTGAATATAAGGGACACCGTTCATTGTTGATGCGAACCAGAAACCTACTCTCGACAATGCAACGACAAGATGTCATTGACAGGTTCCGAAGTGAAAATTTCCTTCGTCATAGAACTATTATGTACATCTGCAGATCCTAACATTGAATTTTATCCGGACAGGGTGATACTTGTGCTAGGATTCTTCTTGTTTTCTTTAGCTGTTCTATATGTCGTTTCAAAGCGTATTGGTCTGCTGGCGCTGCAGAGGCAGGTCACATCTGCCATTAAGGCTGGTATGGTTGGGCGAGCAGAACTCAGACCTGGAGCTGTTGAAGATGCCGTAAATCATGCCCAGGCCTATGGCAATGCAGCTCATAAAGTCGAGGAACCTCTAGAAAGAGTGATGCACGACGAACTACGATGAATTCGAGTTACGCATTGCCATTACGACATTACGACGTCTCTGTGTCTTAATTTTTTGTACCTGCACTGTTATTTTCATGTTGGTTTCTTGAAGCCAGCATTGTTAAATATGTACGACGTTTTTTCTTTCTTTATCATATTTGGAAATAGCAATCTCGCAGTTTTAAGGGAAATTGATTGAAACGATCTTCTCTGTATCGTTCCAATTTTAGCAAATGTCTTCGAAGGGACAAATTGATTGAAATGATGAAAGTATAAATGTTAATTGGTAAAATGATTACTTTTCTGAATTTTGTCAATATGCTGTTAAATTTTTATTGATTTGTCGTCAATATTTGATTTTGATCATTTCAGCAATCAATATTCGTTGAATCCTCATCGCATCCAATTTTTTCAATCTTTTAACACATTGTGGAGCAAAATTAATGACAAAATGTAATTCCATAAACAAATAAATAATTACAACATAAAGTTAAATACTTAGAACTTTCCCCACACAAAAACCAAGCAAACAAAGGATTCATAAAAGGTGAAAAACAAAGAAACACCGCTGAATTTAGTTTGATCTTCTGATTCTGCATTTGATAATCGCGTGCCCGATCGTTGGCCGGCCGGCGGAAACACTAGACACACGAGGAAAAACAACACACCTAGTCGACTCGCGGCTACTTTTATCACTAAACCACCAACTCCAAGCTGCAAGGTCATGAGCCATGGAAAAAGACGGCCAATTTGCCTATGAACTGCCGTTGTGACGCACCAGACGACAGAGACTATTTCTTGATACTTCACAATTCATGGAAAGTATCCTTCTCATCCTTCCATCGTATGGAAACTCGCAAACCCATGAAATCCAGAAGAAAAAAAAAAACACTCCCATCTTTCTTCTTTCCTTGACGCTAAGAAGCCCTCCGTGTTTCTTCATTGCGGAGTCAACCTCCAGACACGAATAAATGCATCCTCACCAGAGCTGACCACAGTGTGCTCATCAATGAAAGCTAAGCCGTACACCCCACCCAAGTTTGCACCCTTAATGGTTGTACGGCTTGCTGGAGGCTTGTCGACTTCGTATATGATAACACACGTGTCAAGAGATCCAGTTGCAACCATCGTGCTATCAGGAGACCAAGCAAGGCAGTTTATCCGGGCAGTATGGTACAGCATGTTCTTAAGCTTGATCTGGAAGAAGAAAATAAAGCACAATGTTTACTATGAATTAGTTCAACGATAGCCAATATGCAGCAGTCATTCTAAAGTTCGCGTATGCAACCACATAATCTATCTGAACGTAATTTTATAGTAAGATGAAAGATCACGTCACAACTACCTAATTTATTAACAAATCAAATTCCAAGTTCTCAACACAAAATTTGCAAAGATATATAATCATTTATTTGACATTCCAATATGCACATCTATCATTTCATAAGCTATACTCAAATGTGAAAGTCACAAGTGTGCTGGCAAGAAAGATATACTTGCTGACGAGCGAATGGGATATAGATTTTATCAGTTGAACTTGGATCAATTTGCCTGTATCACACTTATATCTCTTACAAATCATGCATTTGATTTTGACTAAATTTGGTTAAACAAAGAAGATCAGCTGATAAGGAATTGATGCATACATCTAGAACTTCTACACACGCATGCATTGACAAACAAAAGCACGTCTTATTTTATCCTTTTTCACCATAAATGTCAATAATACCGGAACAACGGTTATAATATTAGAATGATGAAATTAAAAAAAATGGCTGAGGACAGTGAGCACACTACCTCTCGAGAGGCACAGTCCCAGACAACAGCTTCTCGGTTCAAATCTCCTGATGCAAACATAGAAACATCAGGAGAGTAGCGTATGACAGAAATGGGCCCCCGATGCTTCTCCAAAACAGCCTCTTCCTTAAGTGTATCACCTGTTACAGAATACATATGCAGTTTACCGTCCTGCCCACCAACAATGGCTTCACTTCCATCCGGTGATATAGTACAGGCAGTCACAGTGAATCCAAGGTTAATAGTTGACAGAACTTTTGTGCCATGGAGCATGACAACTCCAGAATCAGTTGAAACCAAAGCAAGTTCAGGAGATAGAAGGGCAAGGCTTATGTCCTTTGGCTGACTTCCAACATCAATAGCCTCTGCATCTCCACATTGATCACTGCGGAGAGGAACTCTCCAAACCTAGGTAGTCATAAGAAAAATGCAAGAGGAAAGAAACTGAGATAAGGTGAAACCCAAACGATGCAAAACAGTATTCATATAGAATAAGAAGTAAAGAATATACTGTTGAATTGTGAGAGACTAAAAGAGTATACAATTTTTGTCACCTTATTGTCAAATCCACATGAAACGATTTCTTCGTCAACAGCTGCTAAACATTTTATCTGAGAATTCTCCTTCCTTTGTAACTTCCCACCATATCCAGCACCTTGAATCCATTTGACAATGAGACCATCATAGCTGCTAGACAATATAAGTTTTGGGTCACTCTTTAGAACAGCTAATGAAGTAACATTCTTCATGTGTCCGGATATCAGTAGAGGGGCTGTATCAAGGTTGCTCGCTGAGAATATACTAATGAAGCCTCCAAGAGAAACCGTAACAATATGATCATTCTGCCACAGACACCCAACTAGCATGTCATCCACTCCACCCGATCCAGGAGGCGGCAACGTTTTCCTCAGCTTCCCATTATTATCCTCAGATATCTCCCATACTTTTGCCGATTTGTCAGCAGACACAGTCAGAACCTAATCAGCACATTCAATCAGGGAACAAACACAAAGAAAGTTTATAACACAGACAAAATAAAAAGACACAAAATTGCAATCTTTATAATACAGTTACGGTGACTACATGAACAATAACTCTTGGGTAGAAATTACCAATCCAATGTTTTACCTGTTTACCATCAGGACTCCAGCTAAGAGCATAAATGCTGCCTTTGTGGCCATCTTCGATGGACAGCTCTCCGATCTTCTCCGCAGTCTTTCCATCATAAACAATACCACTTTTATCTGAGCTTACAGTGATAAACTTACTACCATCTGGACAGAACCTTATACAATTTACAAAATTCGAATGATCCCTAAACATCGAAAAATCAATAAAATATTTCCAGTCAGGGCAGCAACATAAACACACACACAGACATACATAATTACAATGTGATTAAATCAATAAGATTTCGAGCTAAATTATGTTAAAGAACAAACCTGAGAGACAGCTTGAATTTGAAAGGCGGTCCTTCGTAGAAATTCACCAAGAAATCCTCCCCACAAGTGACGATTCGAAAGGGTCTCGTCGGCTTAAACGCACAGCTTAACACACGCTTCGAGTGCCCATCAAAATCCCCAACAGTTGAGCCTGAATCCCACCTATTCAATCCATTCAAATTCCGTCAATTTTCCCACTAACCAAACACAAAATGCCGGAAAACCGACCAAAAAAGAAAACCCATTTCGCAAATTTTAAATTGAACAATCAAGACGACGACGCTGACATGAACGCGCGAACGAAAGACTTCCCTTTGCCCTCGCCGGAAGCAACGATCCTCAACCCGTCAGGGGACCACTGGAGGTCGTCGATCCGACCAGAGAGGACCTTGAACTCGTTCTTCAACACGAAGTCGTTGTGTGTACCCCATATCCTGACGGTTCCCGAGACGTCGGCGGACGCGATCCACTCGCCGTTAGGGGAGAACCTGGCAACAGTGACGGGATAAGCGTGCTCGGCATAAACGGCGACGTCAAGGGGGTTCTGGAGGCTCATGATAATTACGGATCTTCCATTGGTGTAGAGGAGCTTGTCCGATTTGGGGTCGCCGGAGATCAGAATCCCACGGCCGCGCTCCGTTGACGGGACGCAGGCGTAGGCCTCGGTGAGCTGGGGGGTCATTTTTGGGATTTTGGGAAAAGTGAGAAGTGGGGATTTAAAAGCGCCGGGTATATATAGGCGGTAGGGGGTACGGATAGAGTGATGATGGATGCCAGTGTAGCGCTGTGCGAGTTTTGGAAATGTTCAAAAGGGAAAGTGGACGTGGAAACGTGTTGGTGTAGGAGTCGTCAGATCCAAGATAAAGAAGAGAGAGGATCCTCGTTATATTCATTTTGCAAGCATCTTGAAAATTCTTAAATCACATTTGTTCATCGTACATCATGCGATCAAAAATTATTGTAAATTTTTATTTAAAATTGAATATAAATAGTACTTGACGAAAACTAATCGCTCGATGAACGAATGCAATTAAAGTATCTCTGAGATCTTCATGAAAAGGATCCGACGATGATCATTTTTCGATAAAGAATTGTCTTTGTCTCCTCCTTTTTGCTTTTTTTACCCATCGCCCCACAAAACACATACTTATTTTCATTTTGTCACGTAAGACTCATTATGTGCCACTTAATCTCTCATAGCATTCTGTTTCACTATGCTCATTTTCATTCATTTAGTTAAACAAGTGTTAAAATGGCTTACGTAGCTCTTATGTGGTTCATATGTCAAAAATAATAGGTTGAACGTTGTCATTTTCCCGATTAAGTGAATTCACATTATCAAATGATTTTTTTTTTTAATTACAATTATGGTCTAAAAGTGGAGCGATTTCTTTGTGGAGATGTTGCCTGACAAAAACTAATCGCACGATGAACGAATGCAATTATAGGATCTCTGAGATCTTCATAAAAAGGATTCGACGATGATCATTTCTCGATAAATAATTGTCTTTGTCTCCTCCTTTTTGCTTTTTTTTTTTTGTTATTTACCCATCGCCCCACAAAACACATGCTTATTTTCATTTTGTCACGTAAGACTCATTATGTGCCACTTAATCTCTCATAGCATTCTCTTTCACTATGCTCATTTTTATTCATTCAGTTAAACAAGTGTTAAAATGGCTTACGTAGCTCTTATGTGGTTCATATGTCAAAAAAAATAGGTTTAACGTTGTCATTTTCGCAATTAAGTGAATTCACATTATCAAATGATTTTTTTTTTTTTTTTTTTTGGTTTTTTTAACAATTTTGGTCTAAAAGTGGAGATTTCTTTGTGGAGATGTTGCTCAAACTCTCGAGTAAGCACAATTGCGAATGCTGGTACTAATTAGGGTGCGATCTTAAGAAGATGACAGTAAGTCAGGCTCTTTCGACCAAAGAAGAAGTAGGGGTGGGTGATGGGGGAGAAAGCGGCCATGGCTGCTTTTTCATGGCGGACCAGATCCCTTCTTTCTAATCTACCAAATCAATGGATCCGTGCCATTGAAATTTGATCTAATGGTTACAAATAGAGACCCACATTAAAAGTTATAATAACTTCAGCCGTTTGATCAAATTTTTATAGCACAGATCTACTGATTTGGTAGATTAGAAGGAAGGGAACGCAACGAATTAATGGGCAAGTGGGTCCCTTTCGACCAAAAAATAAATAAAATTATAGGCAAGTGGGTCTCAATTGTGCGAAAGCAAAAGGTGTAAGAGATCTTTTACAAACTTAAACGAAAATGCGGCGTAGTGAGAGATGTTGTGCGAGAAATGAATTTCAGGGGGCAAATTGAAAGCTAGTATGAGTCTTGAGGAGCATTGGAGTAAATAAGAGTTTATTTTTTCGTAATTTTGTGTTTCGTGCTTGCATGATCAAATTAAATTAAATTAATTGGATGAGCAAGATTGGGCTTGGGTCTCCTCCAAGCAAGACCCAACCATGCTGTTACTGTATGAGAAGAGGGGGATCGGGGGATGACAAATAGTACGGTATTACATTGGTCATTGAATTGAAAGATTGTCATCCCCAGAATAGGACTTACCAACAACTAAGAAAAACTTTTTGACAAAAAAAAAAAAAAAACAACTAAGAAAAACTTGCGTATGAGCGGATCCATAGAGGGATCTAGGTGGCCCCCAGACCATCCAAGGTCTGAGAAAAGCACCTATAGAAGTCTTTTGAAGACCTTCCAAATGTTTTGGAAGGGAAGACCATTCTATTTCTAGGGCTATATGTTCTACAGACTAAGCAGTTTTAGTTGTATTGTCAAACGTCTTATAGTTATGGGGTTATGGTATAAGCAATTTTATTCAATGAGGGTGAATGAGTTGTAGACTTGTAGCAAACTCCTCGTGAGGAAGAAGACTCATATAAAATTCTCTCTATTCCTTTGAATGTCGTTGTTCTTGCTTTGTCATACTACTTTTTAGTGGATTAGTCGGATTTCTTGAAGGAGCGGATATAAAAAAAACTATTAATAGACTCATAAATTGAGGGAACGGATTTTCATTTTATATAAACTACCTTGCTAAAAAAAAAAAAAGCTTACGGTTTAGACTTTGTAAATTGTAATATTATTTGTTGGACCTTTTACATTGGGATCCCCCAACCTTAAAATTCTGGATCCGCCAACAAAATGTTCTTGTGGTAATATCCCAAAATAATGTCATGCATTTTAACTTTCTATTGTAAGAGCACAAATTGACTTGAGAATATTTGAACCATCATCATCCCCAAATTAAGGTCTTACCTATAATAGAGAGAAACTTACTTTCAACAAGAGACCACTGTGGTAGTATTTCAAGACAACTATATATACACTATCATACGTTTTATTCTTTTTCAAGCAAAAATGCTTGATTAACTTTGTACAACAAAAGTTACAACCCCGTTCAATGAAAGCTATTGACCCTTCCACAAGAAACATCACTTAATTACCTTATCAATATGTTATTCATAAAATTTCAATTATTTAATTAAAATTCGTAATTACTTACAAGAGTAATGCTAGGGAGACTAAATTTGCAAACTAAATGACGTGTCATCAATAAGCATGAACACGTTTATTAATGCTTAAATGATAAACCAATTATCAACTTCCGTGTTATTTAGTTTTCAAAATTTGGTCTACAAATTTAGTCTCCCTAGCATTACTCTTAATTACAATTATTTGGTAAGGGTAGTGCTTGGGAGACTAAATTTATAAACCAAATTTTGTAAACTAAATTACATAGAAGTTGATCATTGGATTATTACTTAAATATTGATTAACGTGCTTATTTTTTATTAATGACACATCATTTAATTTTCAAATTTAACCTACAAATTTAATTTACCTAGCATTTGAAAATCATAAAGTTTGTCGAAACTGAGCTTTAAAAAAAAACACTGACCTTTAAGGAAATTTCTGGTACAATAACTAGCACAAAAGCTCCATCAAGATTTAATGGTGGCCAAGGAAAACTAGAGACTTTCGGGGCCTACCCACTGAAAAAGTAGGTTAGCTAGCAGGTGGAAAAGGTCAAAGGGTAAGTGGTGCACATTCTCACCTCACCAAACCAAGCACATTTTTGCCATTCACAGACACATAAACACACACACACACACACACACACACTTGGGTAAAAACAACCAGTCCATCTAAACTTGGAAGGTCCTCCAAACTCTCCTCTACCATGCACACACGCACACACACAGAATGCTTTATATAATATTATACATCTTCATGTTTCCTTCGCTCTACTGCTATAGTCATGGGGCCTCGGCATTAGATTTCTCTCTCTCTCTCTCTCATCAGGAAGACAGGAACATTTCATATATATATATATATATATATATATATATATCGATATATATATCTAATATCTCCACCTCTCTCTTTGATTATATATTGTTGTTGTTCTAAACTTGCTAGCTAGGGTTTCTGATCAATGAGGAAGCCTTGTTATGAGAAGAATGAGATAAACAAAGGAGCATGGTCTAAGCAAGAAGATCAGAAACTCGTTGACTACATCCAGAAACATGGCGAAGGTTGTTGGAATGCTCTTCCTAAGGCTGCAGGTGGGTGTATAATACAAATTTATCTTCCAGATTTCTTCGATTTTTACTGCTTGATCAGTATCTATAGCTAAAATATATACTATTTTGCAACTTTAGCATCTATGATCTATATGAATATACATGATCATGATCAGGGAAGTAAACGATCGATCCCCGATCATGATTGAGTAGATAAATAGCGAATAATATTGGGGAAAAAGAGGTGTTATATATATAAATCGATGATATGTAGCTTTTCAAAGATCATGTATATGTTGAATAATATTATTGTTTAATGATGATTCATGACTAGGGTTGAGTCGGTGTGGTAAAAGTTGTCGACTGAGGTGGATAAACTATCTAAGGCCAGATCTTAAACGCGAAAGTATTCGAGAAGATGAAGAGGACCTCATCATCAGGCTTCATGCGCTCCTTGGGAATAGGTATACAAACGCAGTCCATATATACATATACATATATATATATATATAACCCCCTTTCCCTAAATTAATTTTCAATAACACGATTGCCCAAACAACCTAACTAAAAAGAGAGTTTCAGGGTGATTTAATTGAGTTTGGAAACAATCATATATATTTAACTTTCTTTCCAATACATATATAGTTATATAATTACAAATTTGGATATCCCTAATTTTCTTTTTTTTTTTGAACATAAGGATATCCCTAATTACAATAACCATATCGTATATGTGTGTGTGTGTGTGTGTGTGTGTGTGTGTGTGTGTGTGTACCTTAATTAAATTGTATACTTAGTCTATAATTTAATTATACATATTAATTTTTAGAACCAAGAAAAACGATTGGCTTTAATTAGTTCGTACTTTAGGGTGTATGCCTGGGTTGGTTAGTGCAGTGCTTCCCCTACACCAAAGTCAAAACTTCCTTCATGTTAGTTTAAATTACAATTATATTGACATCACCCTAAGTCAAATTCATACTTAAAGATGCTTTTTTTATATTTTATTTTATTTATTTTTAACTATAGAGAGTTAATATAAAACCTAAACATATATTTGATAAATGAGGACTAATATATATGTATGCTATATTCGTGAATTTACCTAGGTGGTCACTGATAGCCGGAAGACTGCCGGGAAGGACGGACAATGAGGTGAAGAATTACTGGAACACTCATATAAGGAAAAAGTTATTAAAGATGGGAAGAACTCTTGATCCCAAAAAACCCCATCACCACAATGATCCTCACTTGAGAAGAGGCACTACTGCTAGTGTGCCACTACTGCAGCCTTGTACCAGTACACCAATATCATTTGCGTTGCCGTCGGATTCCATGAGTACTGGTGCTGAAATTCACAGCAACAAAAGCGGGTTGCCCGACCTGAATCTCGACCTCTCACTCTAATTGTTTGTGGAAGGGAGGCAGAAAAGTACATGATATATCTAGACTTGAACAAAAAAGTATCATATAACTATAGTGTCTAGTTTAAGTATATACACCCCACCATCTCCAGGGCTTCTTTTAGACAATGGTGCTTGGGTACGTGGGTTTGGCTTTAAATATGACTAGTCTGGTCGACTAGTATAAAGGTGTGTACGTAATTAATTTGGACATAGCTAGTTATCACTGTGTGTACAATTGGAAATTTGGCAAAAGAAAAGAAATAAAAGTAATTTGGCATGCACCTGACTGCTAAGATCCTAGTTGTATATGTGTATGGCTAGCTAGGTAAGTATGAGTTTGCCCAAAATCTCTCTTTCTGCGCTCTCTGTTTATATATAGGGAAAAGTTAGATATTATATATATATATATATGTATGTATATGTATATATGCATCTATATGTATACACATATATACAATATCAGTTCTAATATTTGAAATCCCTTGAAAGAGGTAAGGGTTCATCTTTTGTACCTCCCCGTTACAGTAATGAGAAATGCTTGATGTTGGAATTTGAAGGGGAAAGGTTTGTCCTATACTATATGTATGATGAAATGTATTTCGTTTTGATTACGATATATATCGATTGAGATTTATATTGTGATAGTATATGCAACTGGTTTGGCAATATATATATCTTTTGTATTATGTACTGTCCATGCATGCATGGCTCACTCCTTAAGAAGTATGGTACATTAACCATTAGCTATTTCAGAATGAGAGAACTCAATTAGCTAAAGAATGTGACTATTAGTGTACGTAACACGTTCTTCCATGCTTAAACTATATAATCGCACCCTATCACTTTTTAAATTTTACTTTAATGGAGATCTCCTTGCCTAGACATGGTTTTTGGTCAAGAATCTGCTTTCAAAACAATGAAAAAGAAGAACAAGCAGCAGCTGAAAGCTCCAAACTTGAATGCGGTAAAAATCTAGCTTCTTTACTTTTTATAATTGTTGAAAGAATGGAAGGGAAACACAACCACAACAGCGGATTCAATATTTTTTTTGTTGGGAGCAAGATGTATCATGTAGTCAAATATCACATCTTCTCTTCATGTCCAGCAAATTCAATTCCGCGTCACTTTGCCTTTTCTTTTTGCCTTATCTCTCGACCTTCCCAAAGAACTTCTGTCAAACAGTTTGCCCTAGGACAACTGTAGTTACTATTGACCTTCCACAAACCTACAAAGTTCATTTATGTGTGTGTGTGTGTGTATATGTATTCGTTGGGAATATTAAGAAAGCTGTTTTTTTTTTTTGGTGCTTGGGAAAAACCGTTGCATGCACTGTATCAAGTTCAGAAGAAAACGAACTAGTAAATGCGACTATTGCTCGGACCGATATAACAATTTTCGTAGCTTTGAACTTTTGACTATACGTCGATTACTTGAAAATATTACCCAAACTAATCGGATACTCTGATCTTTTTCCCATATATTATCAACAGCAAGTCCTACAACGGAGGATTTTCCAGATGGTTTACAAAAATGAACATAAAGAATATTTGATCACCAATCTACCTTACCTCATGTTCATTCTAATGTTCAAAGAATGACATGATGTAGCTTGATTCCAATTTCCAACCTTTTTCTTGATGCTGATTTTGACTTTTCACCTAAAAATTGTATACATATTTTGTTTCAAACCTTCTTGGATACGGCCTGCTTTAATAGTTTCTACAAGATCAATCGTCTCTTAAAAGATTGATTCTTGGATAGCTTGTTCTGGACTTCCCTAGAGAGGAGGCTGGGACCTCCGTTGGCTTTGGAGGGAAAGCGCTACATTGTCCAAAGTTTAGAGCATACCATGCCTCTTTGAAGAATTACAGAAGAGGTCTTAGACTCTTAATTAACCCATTTTTTTGTTTTTACAAATCACCCACCCTTTGTCTGTGTAAAAAAAGAAGGATTAAGTACCTAGAACCCCCAACCATTTTAGTGTCATTTCAAATTGGTCTCAACCATTTTAAACATTCCAAACAAGTACCCAACCTATTAAAAATATCACATTTGTTAAGCCCAATTAAAAATTTGTTAAATTAACTAGGGTTTACTTTGTCTCCAAAATCAATAGAATGTCATGAAAGCATAGCATCCACCAATTAACAATCACCACCACCCCCATTAGGCCATCATCTACAAACCCAAAAGAAAACCACCAACTTCATCCTACAACTCGAGCCGCTCACATTGGGAGGAGATCGTGGAAGTTGCTGAAATTGTATGAACTGCCATTATGTGGCCACCACCATCTTTACCACACACAAAGAATAATTGGAAGCCTTATGAGCCGGGAATCGGGGAATGAGGAAATCACATAAGTAGAAACAAGCTCCTTGAAATCCTATCTGAATTCTTAACCCTTTCTTTGTAAGGAAATTGCCCTCCTGATGTAATTTCAATTTGGGTGCATTTTCGATTCAATTTAATACCTGTTTGATCATTGGATTCCATATTATATAGTCTACATTTGAAGTTTAGATTTTGAAGCAACTAATATTAATGTGGACCATGATATACGCACCTACTTGGTAGGTTTTGAATATGATCTATGTTTGAAAATCAATTGGGGCTTAACTGATGTGTCATTTTCAATAAATTGGGTACTGGTTTGGAATGTTTAAAAATATTGAAACCAATTTGAAATGATACTAAAAGATTGTGAGGTTTTAGGTACTTAATCCAAAAAAAAAAAAAAAAAAAAAAAATTTGACGCTACAATACAATTGCGCTAAGGCCTAAGGGCACAATGGAAATAGCACAATTTCAAAATTTGTCTTTGTTAGAGGCACACTACTTTCTTGAATGTGATAAGTTTGCTCATACATCCCAAAACAAAGTAGTAAAACTCAATTCCTTTCGTTCATGCCTACTCTCTACAAACTCTACACTCTGGTAAATTATATATATTTGCAGTAACAAATATGTTTTCCAATTTGAAATAACTATATATTCCTTGTAAACCCGTGCATGCATATACAGTCTGAAGAAAAAAGGGAAGAAAAAGAAGAAAGACCTGGGTATGCATGCAACAACATAATAAACATAATAAAGAAAGAGGTATTCATCAATTTACCCCTGAATTTGTGATCATCGGCGAATTTCCTCCCTCAACTCTCATAATTAGTCAACTTCCCCACTCAACTTTAATTTTGGCCAATTTGCCCCCTCAACTCTCATAATTAGTCAATTTGCACCTACTGTTAATTTTTTTAATTTTCCATCTATTCTTCCATTAAGTAGGTATCCGCATGACTGCTTTTGAAGGGCAAAAAAAAGTCAATTTGCACTCTACTGTCATTTTCTGTTAAGTAGGTTTCCCTACACCTTAACAGAGGTAGACGAGGATGAGAGAGGAGGCAACGAGGTGTGGGCAGCTGCAAACTGCAAAAGCAGCATATCAAATGGACTGGGGCTGCAAACAGTGGAGGAGGGAGGCGTTGGCAGCAATCATGGTCTCGGCTTAGAGAAAAGGAAGAAGGTACAAGAGAAAGTTTGAAAAGGAAGAAGATAGAAGGTGTAGGAAAATGGCTTTTTTGCCCTTTAAAGGCAGTCATGCAGATACCTACAAAGGAAAAATAGATGGAAAATTAAAAAAATTAACATTAGGATGCAAATTGACTGATTGTGAGAGTTGAGGGGGGAAATTAGCCAATCCTTACAAGTTCAGAGGGTAAATTAATAAATACCTCATAAAAAAATTATGACTATAAAGTTCGATGAATATAATATGATTTAGGGTTTGCCCATGCCTACTATTTGTATGCTTGAAAATTTTATCATTTTCTTCGGCCAGAATCTGAAATCCAGTTTTGCTTGGTATTCTAAACCTTTAAATGTCACTGATGAAATCTAAAGTTTGGGCTTTTCGATATATATTTACGTTGACCTTTCTTGAAAAGTTATTCATTTTCATTCATTCTATAAATGGTGTCAAATGTTGGTACACTTGGGAATCGCAGCAGGAACACGTGTGGCCTATGAAAATTACCCGTAAAGATCACCAGCGTATCTACCATTCAACTCCCAGTGGACTATGAGACTTGTTGGCTAGACTCCCTCATGGTTTCTGTGTTTCTATATTTTTATCATAATCCATCCCTTTGTTTCAGTAGTACCGACTTATGAATGTACAACAAAAAATGGGCGAGGATTCTCTCTTCGGTTTCCTCGTTCAAAATCCATTTGTATGCAGGCAGAGACAAAAAGAGACGGAGTATTCTCATCCACTAAAAATACTAATTACGTGGGCATCAAAGATGAAGTGACCAAGCAGAGATTTGAGTTGATCTGTTTCATTAATAAACAATGTTTAGGCCATGTATTATTAACTTTAAGTCCACATAGTACATTAGAAATTAAGGTTTTATCATAAAATTTATTGACAATTAATATGGGGAGTAGTGCCCAATTACTTATAGGCCTATTTAAGATCATTTTCTCATCAATTAATGTGGAATTCATCTCAACATGTTTCCTCACATGTGGTGAATTTTCAACTAAAACATGCGAACAACACAAATGGGGTGACATGGAGCACGTGCGGCCACTGGATTTAACACGTGGGACAACCTGCTCTGGTACCATGAAGAAATTGAAGTTCCACCATAAAATCAAACGGCAGTATGGGAAATAGCCCAACTACTTATAAACACATGCAATGCAAGATTCCTTCTCTCATCATAAAATTCATCTCAAACAAATATCATGTAGTACCACAGTTATTGAATAGAAAAAATGCTTTGTTTTTATTTTTTTAGTTGAACAAACTAAGTATACGCAATATCATGGAGTCTCCAATGTCATTTACACTCACTTTTTAATTAACATGAAGGCCTTTCGTATTTGGAAATGTGTCAAAGACATAGTAATATCACATTTTGAAGTAGAACCAGACACCGTCACACACACCAAACCCTCGACAGATGAAGTGTAGTTAAATTTCACAACTGTAAGTCAAGCGAAGTCGGAAAACTCTGTTATATAGTTCTCTACCCCCTTCACTTGGGCACCTTGAGTGATCTCTCTCTCTCTCTCTCTCTCTCTCTCTCTCTCTCTCTCTGTGCACTTGCTGTAAGAACTTCAATATTACTATTGTAATGAGGAAACCTTGCTGTGAGAAGAGAAAGACGAAAAAAGGAGCATGGTCGAAGCAAGAAGATGAGAAGCTCACTCAATATGTTGAAAAAAATGGTGAAGGAATCTGGCGTTCCCTTCCACTTGCTGCAGGTATACATGCACTTCCTCTTGAACGAACTTACAAAATTAACCCAATCAACCAAAAACATGTTCAAGCAGTGGATTGCTCCCGTGGATTGAGGTTCTTAGGGTTTTTGTTTTTACACCCCACTGCTTCTTGGACTTAACCATCTTCCTCTCTTAATGTAATTTAGAGTAGTAATATTGTTGGTAAGAAAGAAAAAAAAAGCACTAACATGCACAAATTCACTCACATACACACATACTCATGCAGTTCTCAATTAATTTAGAACTTACAATTTGTTGCTTGAAAAATATTTATATAATACATATATTTATTATTATGGTTCCTTATTTTTCATTAATTTTAATTGTTGATCATATTTTGAAATTAATAATGGTACAGGCTTGCTTCGTTGTGGAAAGAGCTGTAGATTAAGATGGGTAAATTATCTAAGGCCAAACGTGAAACGTGGCAACTTTGGTGAAGATGAAGAGGACCTAATCATCAGGCTCCATGCACTTCTTGGAAACAGGTATACTGCCCGTGGCATCTTTTATAAAATTATATTATACAATATGTTGATAACATTTGAGAAAATGAAGAAAAAAGGGAAAATTTTGAATAAAAGATAATCACCTCTCTATCACAGACATGCAGTAGTAGTATTTCTGCAAAACTCCCAGCAGCAAATGGAAAAAGGGAATATTTTGATAGGGTGGAATATCAGGGGGCAAAATAATTTTCAAAAGGTCTCACTTTTTCTCATTGGAACCTTGTACATTTGTTAGAATCTGAATAAACTGCAACGAAAACCTAATTGATAATGCATGCTCCTTTCTATTGCATAACTTCTTCTTCATACACACACACACATATATATCTTAACCATCACCATCTCAGAATATGATCTCAATGAATTGAAGAAGAACGCTTAACAAAGAAGAAAGAGGGCAAACTTCAATATTTCTCATTAACTATATTTTTTAGAATACATAGTAATTAACCGATATACAAGGAGGGAAAATAGTATTTTTACTAACAGCTCAAATACATTGGCTTAAGACAGAAGTTATTGTTGCACATGTGGCACTGCTGACATAGCAAATCATACTTATCCAATAATATACATATATATGGAAATGTGTGTATATATACGTTAAGTTGAATAGTTAAGGGATGTAGATTTGGTTTTCAGTTTCCAAAAAATCAAATAGTTATTTGAGGGTCCCTAAATATAGCCATATATATGGGTAGGTAGGTCTTCTTCATTCACTAATTAAAGTATCAATTGCTGGACTATATACTGATCATGTATTTATACTTGTACAATTCAAATAGGTGGTCGTTAATTGCTGGAAGATTGCCGGGACGAACTGACAATGAAGTGAAGAATTACTGGAACACTCATCTAAGGAGAAAACTAATACAAATGGGAGTTGACCCCAATAACCATCGCATAGGACACACACACAATATTGGCCTTACAAAATCATCATTTGGCTCCAGACAAGTAAATTATCCCTCTGAACCTGTTGATTCTCAAGGGGATAAAGACTCTGATCAAATTAAACCATTGTCAGATTCTACCAGTGGCCTGGAAAGCAACACAAGCTGCTGTGGTTTGCCTGACCTCAATCTTGATATCACGATTGGCCCTCCAAGTTCATTCGGATACTGAATAAGTCTTAATTAGCTGAGTTTCTCTTTAGTCATAGTTCAAATCTTTAATAGCTAGAGATAGTTTTTTTCATGCTAAATAGGACTAGCAAAAAAGCAGAATTAGTTGGTTCAATAGTTATGTAAATGGAGACTTGAGAGAGAAATTAAGAATGTGGTTAGCTGGACGCATTTCTTGCTATGCTGTCTCCAAGGTTTTCTCAAATAAATGTTTTATTAGATTATGATTGCGTAACTTGTAGATTTTACGAAATAGCTTACAGTTACACTCACATTCCTAACTATTAATGTAAAAAAGTGAAAAGTTATTCAACTTTTAACTAATTAATGTCAGAAATTTGTAACTCAGTTAATTTTTATGCCACTTTCCTCTTTTATCAAAAGAATTAGTTCTAACTATAGGTGGAACAGTAAAATTAAGAGATTTTTAACGAAACGCTCATAGTACTATTTATTTTTAATGAAAAATCATATTTTTACTTTTTCTTGGTACTATTCAGTATACCTTTATTTGTTATTTTTTCATCAAAAGTAAATTTTTTTTTTTAAACTTTTGGTTAGTTTCTTTAAAATGAATCTAGTTGCAGTTGCAGGTCGACTACTGTGGACGCCAGTACATATGCCCGGCCATGATACCGAACCAAGTCCATACGTGTCTGCGTATACACATGCCTTAAGAATACAACAATTCATCACGACTTATAGATTATGTCAGGTGATACAACAGAGAATTTAGCTACTGTTCAAACTAAGGTAGCTAGGTTATTATTTTGTTTGTATTGAAACGAGAATTTTATATTATTTATGGTGATACAAGAAACCAAGCCTTTACTCTTTTTATATGACTGACACGTGACACTTCAGGCAACAAGTAGATAAGGCAGGAGCTGCAGTTCATGTTGTAGACCACAATATCCCCAGCGAAAGACTTGCCAATTGGCGAAAATCTAAGTTAATATTCTATATATCTGAATATTACAAGGTTGAGAAGGCCGGTCGATTGAGAAACATATATTACATATAAAATTGCACAAAAAAAATTACAAAAATCAATGTGTGCTTGACCTCAAGTAAATTTCTGGTGATCAGTGACTCACAAGGCGAATATCGCCTAGCTGCCTTACATATAATATAAAATAAAATAAATTAATAAAAAGAACTTTCAAATCTTTATATTTTAATTATAAATCATTCACTAATTTTATTTAATGATAAAGACAAAAGAATTTAAAATAAAAAAAAAATAAAAAATAAAAAACACATAAAAAGCTAAAAACATGCGCCGGGCGTATGTGAAGCAACCGCACGAGCAACCATATTGCCACTCCGCGGGACAAACAGAAACTTTACCTCCTCTAGTTGAGGGGTTAAGAATAAATTACAGTCGAAAGTAGCATCCGTAGAAACCTCTCCATTGATCATCTTAACTAAAGATTGAGCATCAGACTCTATCTCAACCTTCGAGCATCCTTGTTCCCAGTAGAAAATCAGCGCAGCACGAACTGCAGCTGCCTCCACCACCGCAGCATTATTGAAAAAGCAGCCTCCCGCCCCTCCCGCCATCTTCAGTATACCTGCAAAGTCCCTCATAACCCATCCATAACCTCCCCGCATTGTCTTCGCACTCCAAGCCCCGTCGCAAATCACCTTCAACGTACCAAATAAAGGCCTCCTCCATCGCACCCTTGCCCCAGCAAATTCATCCTCTAAAACGGCCTGACCAATTGGTGTCAGCACCTTTTTGGTAGGTTGAGCATTCCTATATTCCTGAAGGTGTTGTCTTAAAATCACCATGGCCTCCATTGGGTTTTTCAAATCTCCTTTGAAGACAGCAGCATTTCTACTTCTGCAAATTCTCCATAGGACAAAAACCACTTCTTGAAATATCTCCTCACTTCTCTCCTCATCTTTGAACCTTTCATTCATCTTGTTCCATCCATCACGAAAGTCAGATCCCCCAAATTAACGCCATGGAATCAAGCTGGAGAGGGCAGCAAAACCAAAGAACTAGACTAAATTCACACCTGAAAATAAGTGATCCTCCATTTCATCATCATGCCCCACACATACCACAAGAGGTCACCACTCGTATGCGCCGTCGGGTAATAAAAAATGATGTTGCAACATTTGCACCATCCTTCTAATAAAAATGTGATTCGCATGTGTTGGTTGATCTTAACTTTATGAGAAAGATGGTACAAATATGATACAAAAAATGTGATAAATGTAGAAGTACCACTAGCTAGTAATATCGTAGTTAGCTAACTACGAAATGTACAAGATAGGTAGATCACGTGCAGTTGAAGTTTTGTGGAGTATTGATGGTGTTGAAGGACAATAAATACATACATACATACATATATATATATATATATATATATATTTTTTTGTTTATGGATCATAATGCATCAAGCACATATCATGCAAGTAAAGGGCGGAAGCTCATATATAGAATTTACACGCATGTGGTAGACCTACTGCATGCCCAGGTTTAAAATTGCAGGCGCTAAGCTAGGGATTCTTCTCAAATTTTGTCCATTACCGTATTAATTGGTAGTTGAATATGTTGGTGAATAAGTCTCGTTTCGGCCACCCACGTGCATAGACCAAACCCTAATTTGTAACCACCATTCCAACTCAAATTTTATAACCTAAATTACCTAATTAATTTGATTCCATGGCCTTATTATACGTTATAGTTGCTCTCACTGATGGTGTACTACCACTGCTCTGTTTTTCTAGAACTCCATAGCTTATGCATCTCTCTGCGCGCTCTCTCTCTCTCTCTCTCTCTCTCTCTCTCTCTCTCTCTCTCTCTCTCTCTATATATATATATATATATATATATCTTCATCTTCAACATGATTGAAATAAATTAAATATGTGAAGAATCAACATTTATTACAATTGTTAAGGGAAAACCACCCTTAATATCATGAAAGGCATGAAAGGGAAAACCAACCCTTAAAAGGGTTAAGTAACTAAAAAATTCTTTAGATATAAATCCATGCAACACTTATTTTCTTGACAAAAACCCATCTCATTTTAAACATCCAAATAAAACCCAAATTTGAAGTAGACTGCCATATAAACAAATAAATACCTATTATTTTCAAACCATTTACAATTGTGCCACAACACTCTAATTATGTTAATGAATTTAATTATTCACCATAATTGTGAGAAATAAGTGCTTTATTATTATAAAATTATCTACTTTATACTTCTCTTACCATCATATGTTTCATTTTTTTTATTTGTTTGACAATCATTGTAGGTAAATTATTTTGCATGTATGTATTAGACACATTTTGTTAAAATAAGATATATGCGTACAAATAATTTATCTATATTTTTATGTAAAATAATATGTAATTAATTAATTTGGATCAATTGGCTAAAAATATTTATTTATTTTGTAGGTAAATTATTTTTCATGTGATATTACATATATACTAGCCACATTTTGTAATTATTATATAGTGTGCAATCAATTGACATTCTTTTATTTTGTAGGTAAATTATTTTGCATGTAGGTAAATTTTTATATATATATATATATATATATATATATATATTGCAAAATATTGGTATTTAATTAATTTTGAATAAAAAATATTTATTTTTTTTGTCGGTAAATTATTTTGCATGTATCATTACATAATTTACTAGGAACTTATATTGTTATATATGTTGTGCAAAATAATTTACCTAAGTTACATTTACAATATTGATAATTTTGAATAAAATAAATTTTTTTATATTGTAGGATATACTAATTTACCTGTTAGCATCAGGTGAAAACAACTATATAAGGAACATTGGTATCATGTAAATTTTTGCTATTAAATGCATAGGAATCATGACATTTAAATTTTTTTCCAAATCCCCATAAGGTATTTGAACATTTAATTGAAGGAAATAATGTAAAATAAATGTAGATAATAAGTGAGAGACCCAAAGTAAGTGTTACTAGGGGTAATTTAGACATCCAAAAATACAAATTTTGCCAAGTCAAACTTAATTATGGATATTACTTAGTTGGAGTCTAGTCATTGGGTTTTTGTTAGAGAAATTTATCATGATGAGTTTTAATTAAAGATAATTGAATTTCAAGAGGTGTACTTATATTTTCAGAAAAAAAAAAGTATTGCATGCACAAAGTTGGATAAAAACTTCATTACCAAAAAGCAAAGTTTAGGGTTTAGGGCCGATAGTGTCAATCTAACATACAAAGCTTTGAGAATTGGTGAGGGCCTATCGTTGTGCAGTAGTTAGTACTGATGAAGTTCTCGAGTCATTGAAGTACTGCCAGCAAATATAAAAATCTACTACAATGGGAAAAAAAAGTTGCAAATGCTACAATTACTTGTGAGAATGTGAGGACAATTTTTGACATCCCACATCGCCCAGGGGAGTGATCCTTAAATGTATATTCCCATCCCTACCTAGCACGAGGCCTTTTGGGAGCTCACTGGCTTCGGGTTCCGTAGGAACTCCGAAGTTAAGCGAGTAGAGGGCTAGAGCACTCCCAGGATGGGTGACCCTCTGGGAAGTTGCTCGTGAGTTCCCAAAAACAAAACCGTGAGGGAATGGTAAGCCCAAAGCGGACAATATCGTGCTACGGTGGTGGAAGCGGGCCCGGGAAGTGATCCGCCCCGGGTCGGGATGTGACAATTTGGTATCAGAGCCTAACCCTGGTCGCGTGTGTGCCGACGAGGACGTCGGGCCCCTAAGGGGGGTGGATTGTGACATCCCACATCGCCCAGGGGAGTGATCCTTAAATGTATATTCCCATCCCTACCTAGCACGAGGCCTTTTGGGAGCTCACTGGCTTCGGGTTCCGTAGGAACTCCGAAGTTAAGCGAGTAACGCACGAGAGCACTCCCAGGATGGGTGACCCACTGGGAAGTTGCTCGTGAGTTCCCAAAAACAAAACCGTGAGGGAATGGTAAGCCCAAAGCGGACAATATCGTGCTACGGTGGTGGACCGGGCCCGGGAAGTGGTCCCGCCTGGGCCGGGATGTGACAATTTAACTCCGAAGTTAAGCGAGTAGCGCGCGTGAGCATTCCCAGAAATTAGTATAAATGCTTTGTTATATGCCGTTCTTTTTATATAATTGGTATATACGTTTAATTATATATTCATTATGCATATGTCATTTATATATATAATGGTGCTGTGGAGGCACAGGTAAGTGTCAGGTAAGCGTTATTTAACAATCGCATTAAATAGTGGTTAGAGATGATTAAAGAGCTCATAACCTGCACCCCCGGTGTTAGTGCTCCCGCCCAGAGTAGGGCACAGTCCTTCACGTGTTGTTCACCTCCCGCACCACACGCTCAGCTTGGATCCAAGTTAGGTGCACAGTCTTGTCGTACAGACCACTGTAGGTGGTTCCGACTCGTAGGTGACCCGCGATTATTCGCACAGCCTTCATGTGATCGTAGCACTAGAGCGTTTATATGTTTTACATCCAGGCTTATCGTACAGACCACTTTAGGTGGTTCCGACTCGTGGGCAGGTTTAGTTATGGAAACTGAGATTGGTATCAGAGCCTATCCCTGGTCGGAAGTGTGTCGACGAGGATGTCGGGCCCCTAAGGGGGGTGGATTGTGACATCCCACATCGCCCAGGGAAGTGATCCTTAAATGTATATTCCCATCCCTACCTAGCACGAGGCCTTTTGGGAGCTCACTGGCTTCGGGTTCCTTAGGAACTCCGAAGTTAAGCGAGAAGAGGGCTAGAGCACTCCCAGGATGGGTGACCCACTGGGAAGTTGCTCGTGAGTTCCCAAAAACAAAACCGTGAGGGAATGGTAAGCCCAAAGCGGACAATATCGTGCTATGGTGGTGGAGCGGGCCCGGGAAGTGAATTGTCACATCCCAGCCCGGGCGGGACCACTTCCCCGGCCCGGTCCACCACCGTAGCACGATATTGTCCGTTTTGGGCTTACTATTCCCTCACGGTTTTGTCTTTGGGAACTCACGAGCAACTTCCCAGTGGGTCACCCATCCTGGGAGTGCTCTCGTGCGCTACTCGCTTAACTTCGGAGTTCCTACGGAACCCGAAGCTAGTGAGCTCCCAAAAGGCCTCGTGCTAGGTAGGGATGGGAATATACATTTAAGGATTACTCCCCTGGGCGATGTGGGATGTCACAATCCACCCCCCTTAGGGGCCCGACGTCCTCGTCGGCACACACGCGACCAGGGTTAGGCTCTGATACCAATCTGTCACATCCCGGCCCGGGTGGGACCACTTCCCGGGCCCGCTCCACCACCATAGCACGATATTGTCCGCTTTGGGCTTACCATTCCCTCACGGTTTTGTTTTTGGGAACTCACGAGCAACTTCCCAGAGGGTCACCCATCCTGGGAGTGCTCTAGCCCTCTTCTCGCTTAACTTCGGAGTTCCTAAGGAACCCGAAGCCAGTGAGCTCCCAAAAGGCCTCGTGCTAGGTAGGGATGGGAATATACATTTAAGGATCACTTCCCTGGGCGATGTGGGATGTCACAATCCACCCCCTTTAGGGGCCTGACGTCCTCGTCGGCACACTTCCGGCCAAGGATAGGCTCTGATACCAATGTCACATCCCAGCCCGGGCCCCGGTTGTGATGGGGGCCCGGGCCGGGATGTGACACAATTAAAGTTTTATCGGTGAGTGATCAAACTATGCAAAAGTTTATAAGAAGTTAGGTTACTCTTATATTATTAATTAGTTTTATGATAGAATCTCAATTTTCTTCAAAGTGAGCAGCAATTGAATAAATTTTTTGCATCGTTGACAGTAGAGAAGAAGGCAAAAAGATTCTTGTATGCAGAAAAAATGAACGACTCGGGTTGTGCAAAAGCCAAATTTCTCAGTGCTCAGGAAGTACAGTAATTAGAAATTTACTACACTGAGAAAGAAGTGCAAAAGCCATAA